TCTAGCAGAAAAATGACTTTTTCAAAATCTAGGTTCGGGCCGGGAAGCTCTAGCAGAAAAATGACTTTTTCAAAATCTAGGATCGGGCTGGGAAGCTCTAGCAGAAAATTGACTTTTTCAAAATCTAGGATCGGGCCGGGAAGCTCTAGCAGAAAAATGACTTTTTCAAAATCTAGGATCGGGCCGGGAAGCTCTAGCAGAAAAATGACTTTTTCAAAATCTAGGATCGGCCGGGAAGCTCTAGCAGAAAAATGACTTTTTCAAAATCTAGGTTCGGGCCGGGAAGCTCTAGCAGAAAAATGACTTTTTCAAAATCTAGGATCGGGCCGGGAAGCTCTAGCAGAAAATTGACTTTTTCAAAATCTAGGTTCGGGCCGGGAAGCTCTAGCAGAAAAATGGCTTTTTCAAAATCTAGGTTCGGGCCGGGAAGCTCTAGCAGAAAATTGATTTTTTCAAAATCTAGGATCGGGCCGGGAAGCTCTAGCAGAAAATTGACTTTTTCAAAATCTAGGATCGGGCCGGGAAGCTCTAGCAGAAAAATGACTTTTTCAAAATCTAGGATCGGGCCGGGAAGCTCTAGCAGAAAAATGGCTTTTTCAAAATCTAGGTTCGGGCCGGAAAGCTCTAGCAGAAAATTGATTTTTTCAAAATCTAGGATCGGGCCGGGAAGCTCTAGCAGAAAATTGACTTTTTCAAAATCTAGGATCGGGCCGGGAAGCTCTAGCAGAAAATTGACTTTTTCAAAATCTAGGATCGGGCCGGGAAGCTCTAGCAGAAAAATGACTTTTTCAAAATCTAGGTTCGGGCCGGGAAGCTCTAGCAGAAAAATGACTTTTTCAAAATCTAGGATCGGGCTGGGAAGCTCTAGCAGAAAATTGACTTTTTCAAAATCTAGGATCGGGCCGGGAAGCTCTAGCAGAAAAATGACTTTTTCAAAATCTAGGATCGGGCCGGGAAGCTCTAGCAGAAAAATGACTTTTTCAAAATCTAGGATCGGGCCGGGAAGCTCTAGCAGAAAAATGACTTTTTCAAAATCTAGGATCGGGCCGGGAAGCTCTAGCAGAAAAATGACTTTTTCAAAATCTAGGATCGGGCCGGGAAGCTCTAGCAGAAAATTGACTTTTTCAAAATCTAGGATCGGGCCGGGAAGCTCTAGCAGAAAAATGGCTTTTTCAAAATCTAGGTTCGGGCCGGGAAGCTCTAGCAGAAAATTGATTTTTTCAAAATCTAGGATCGGGCCGGGAAGCTCTAGCAGAAAATTGACTTTTTCAAAATCTAGGATCGGGCCGGGAAGCTCTAGCAGAAAAATGACTTTTTCAAAATCTAGGATCGGGCCGGGAAGCTCTAGCAGAAAAATGGCTTTTTCAAAATCTAGGTTCGGGCCGGAAAGCTCTAGCAGAAAATTGATTTTTTCAAAATCTAGGATCGGGCCGGGAAGCTCTAGCAGAAAATTGACTTTTTCAAAATCTAGGATCGGGCCGGGAAGCTCTAGCAGAAAATTGACTTTTTCAAAATCTAGGATCGGGCCGGGAAGCTCTAGCAGAAAAATGACTTTTTCAAAATCTAGGTTCGGGCCGGGAAGCTCTAGCAGAAAAATGACTTTTTCAAAATCTAGGATCGGGCTGGGAAGCTCTAGCAGAAAATTGACTTTTTCAAAATCTAGGATCGGGCCGGGAAGCTCTAGCAGAAAAATGACTTTTTCAAAATCTAGGATCGGGCCGGGAAGCTCTAGCAGAAAATTGACTTTTTCAAAATCTAGGATCGGGCCGGGAAGCTCTAGCAGAAAAATGACTTTTTCAAAATCTAGGTTCGGGCCGGGAAGCTCTAGCAGAAAAATGACTTTTTCAAAATCTAGGATCGGGCCGGGAAGCTCTAGCAGAAAATTGACTTTTTCAAAATCTAGGATCGGGCCGGGAAGCTCTAGCAGAAAAATGGCTTTTTCAAAATCTAGGTTCGGGCCGGGAAGCTCTAGCAGAAAAATGACTTTTTCAAAATCTAGGATCGGGCCGGGAAGCTCTAGCAGAAAAATGGCTTTTTCAAAATCTAGGATCGGGCCGGGAAGCTCTAGCAGAAAAATGACTTTTTCAAAATCTAGGTTCGGGCCGGGAAGCTCTAGCAGAAAATTGACTTTTTCAAAATCTAGGATCGGGCCGGGAAGCTCTAGCAGAAAAATGGCTTTTTCAAAATCTAGGTTCGGGTCGGGAAGCTCTAGCAGAAAAATGACTTTTTCAAAATCTAGGATCGGGCCGGGAAACTCTAGCAGAAAATCGACTTTTTCAAAATCTAGGATCGGGCCGGGAAGCTCTAGCAGAAAATTGACTTTTTCAAAATCTAGGATCGGGCCGGGAAGCTCTAGCAGAAAATTGACTTTTTCAAAATCTAGGATCGGGCCGGGAAGCTCTAGCAGAAAAATGACTTTTTCAAAATCTAGGATCGGGCCGGGAAGCTCTAGCAGAAAAATGACTTTTTCAAAATCTAGGTTCGGGCCGGGAAGCTCTAGCAGAAAAATGGCTTTTTCAAAATCTAGGATCGGGCTGGGAAGCTCTAGCAGAAAATTGACTTTTTCAAAATCTAGGATCGGGCCGGGAAGCTCTAGCAGAAAATTGACTTTTTCAAAATCTAGGATCGGGCCGGGAAGCTCTAGCAGAAAAATGACTTTTTCAAAATCTAGGATCGGGCCGGGAAGCTCTAGCAGAAAAATGACTTTTTCAAAATCTAGGTTCGGGCCGGGAAGCTCTAGCAGAAAAATGACTTTTTCAAAATCTAGGATCGGGCCGGGAAGCTCTAGCAGAAAAATGGCTTTTTCAAAATCTAGGATCGGGCTGGGAAGCTCTAGCAGAAAATTGACTTTTTCAAAATCTAGGATCGGGCCGGGAAGCTCTAGCAGAAAAATGACTTTTTCAAAATCTAGGTTCGGGCCGGGAAGCTCTAGCAGAAAATTGACTTTTTCAAAATCTAGGATCGGGCCGGGAAGCTCTAGCAGAAAAATGACTTTTTCAAAATCTAGGTTCGGGCCGGGAAGCTCTAGCAGAAAATTGACTTTTTCAAAATCTAGGATCGGGCCGGGAAGCTCTAGCAGAAAATTGACTTTTTCAAAATCTAGGATCGGGCCGGGAAGCTCTAGCAGAAAATTGACTTTTTCAAAATCTAGGATCGGGCCGGGAAGCTCTAGCAGAAAATTGACTTTTTCAAAATCTAGGATCGGGCCGGGAAGCTCTAGCAGAAAATTGACTTTTTCAAAATCTAGGATCGGGCCGGGAAGCTCTAGCAGAAAAATGGCTTTTTCAAAATCTAGGTTCAGGCCGGGAAGCTCTAGCAGAAAATTGACTTTTTCAAAATCTAGGATCGGGCCGGGAAGCTTTAGCAGAAAGATTCTTTTATTTGAATAAATTCTTAAATTTATTGCTTAAAATTCGTTCAGTTTTTTTATTTAATCACACTCGAAATTCTGAGAAAGCTTCACTTGGGTAAAAAAAAAATCAAAACTAGCTCTTTATCTTTGAAGAAATTAACTTTTTAAATTAACTAGCTTTTTCAGTAAGAATTATTTACTATGTCTTTAAAGAAAATTTAATTAAATTAGAAAGAAAAAATAAATTTACCAAAAGAACAAATTTTGAAATTAAGTATTTGTAGTTTTTCTCACAGTCAAAGTATCTGAGCGATACTGGGCCTTTAAATCTTTGTATTTTGAGTGCATTAAATTTGCTACAACCATTGCAATTTTCTTGCGAATCTAAATATTCATGAAATGACGCAAGCTCCTTGAGGTGCCAAATTTGCGGCTTAAAGTAATTTTGGTGTAAATGGCCTCTCAGCATTGCATGAGTCGCTTTGCATCTGCTCGCTTCGTCTTTTGTGTTTATTCAAAGGCCAAATACAAGAGCGGCTCTTTCTTGTGTCCGTCCGCCGTCTGAAAAAGTTTGGAACGCCGCGTGGTTCCACCAAGCGACGTGATAATAGTAATGATGCAGCTCCGTGACTTTTGCCAAGCACTCTACGCGCGTCGATATAATTGGCTTTCCACGCGGTCGCGAATAAAGAAAAATCCCTTTGAGACGCTGCATCAAAATGTAATGCACAAAAAGCACACAGAAGAGTCCTTTCATCCAAAAGGGATAAAATGCGGCGACACATCACATTCGCGCGTTGTGTGAAGTCTCAAAATTAGCCGGAAAGATGATGCGGCTGGGAATGGGGGCCGCGCATCTTTTGAGAGCCGCTCTTGCGTGAGAAGTTCCTCTTCGCAGAAATTCCTGCCACTTTATTTAAAGACAAAAAAAGCGATGAAATAAGTAGCGAGATTTATGTTTTTTATTGCATATCGCTCCCAAGAGCAGAACGATAATTTTAATTATAGCCTCTTGCTGTTAGATAACAGCATCTCTGGAGTGCTCACGTTTCATTTCCTAATGATATTAAAATTTACAATTCAAAAGTGTCGTCAGTTAAATGACGTCATGAATATTTTTATTAATCACCAATAAAAATTAATTTTTATTATAAAAAAAATAGATTAGTTATTAAACACACTAGGTGTACAACAGAAAAAAATAATTCTAGCAAATATTTTTTGTATCCAAAGTTATTAAATATTTTTAGTTTGAGATTCATTGAAATTTTACAAATTTTTTATGTAAATCAATGTAAATACTCATTGAAAAATTGAGTCCTATCGATTTTTAATTTTTAAAATTTTTTTAATAATACAAAATAATTACATCAAACAATTTTAATTTTAATAAAAAAGAATTAAAAATATAGTATCATACATATTATAAAAATAATAATCTTTTTTTCTAAATTCAAGTTATTATTATGATTATGATGTTTATCTTGAATATTTTTTTGGTAAGCATACATTCTTCTTTAAATTGTAATTCTATTTTAACGCCTGACGCATCGGCAACCTGCGAAACACCAACTTTCAAACTGGCTCGTCTCTCGCGCTCGGCGCCAGCACGTGACCCTCGAGCCGTGGGCACGGCCAACGCCATAAACAAAAAACAAAAATGATCATATGACCGAGCTGCTTCGACCAGGCGCCAAATTATCGTCGAAATTCGCCGTAAATATGCGGTAGCCATGGACGAAACTGAGGTAATTAATTTTTTAAAGTCACTCTTAAGCGGGGTGCACCAATCGGCATTTTTTTCTAACCAGGTTATCTAGAGCAAGGGGCGAAATTAAAGTGGGTCTTTTTAGTCTTTTATGTAACTCGATGCGCCTTGACCTTTTTGCTGGTGTTTGTGGTTGTTTGGGTTGGGCGGCGTTTAAATGTTTCATGTTGACTTGTCACTGCTGCAACGACATGCCGCAGTAATAAATTTTGATCAATACACCCGGCACAGGTATAAGGACAAACGACAAGCACTGCAATTATTTTTTTTCTCACTTTCACCTTTTTTTATTTTTATTTCAAATTATTTCTGCTTAAACGAAAATAAATTATTTTAAACTGAAAATTATTGTATAATTTAATTTACAGGAGAATGAAAGGCAGCCTTTTGTCTTGTGCGAGCTAGACAATTTAAAACACGTCCTCCAACCTCTGAAGTCAACACAACGAATAAGGGTAAAATCATTCAAGAATTTATAATTTGAAGTTATTCTAATAAAATCCAAATATCAGTACACATGTTTTGGCCTGTCTCAAAAGCTGCTAGTTTTCGGAGCAACCAGTGGCGGTTTGTACATTTTTCGAAGGGAGCCCTGCACCTTTCTTCACCTCATCCCCAGCAAGGTTTGTCAATTTAAAAGTTAAATTTGTACTTAAACTAAACTTTCTTAAATCAGGATGGCGCCATTGTCAAGGTGGCTGTTTCTCCGGACGAGAAAGTCCTGGCCTACGCCACTAACAAAGGGGTTGTCATCCTGCTCGAGCACAACGTTCTCCAGTCCTCGTCGGCTGCATCTCGGAGGTTGCAAACTTCAAATGAACATTTAGGCGCGGAGGTCACAACACTTCAGTGGAATGCAACCAGCGATGACCTTTACATCGGAGACAACACAGGAAAAATCTCACTTCTCTGCGTTTCTGTTTTTACAGTACGTCGGATTTAACTAAATTTAATATAATTTATTCTCTAAAATTTCACTCATTTCAGGCCAAAAATATTTTCCAAACTCCGTCAATGCAACTGATGCAACTTGACTCGAGCATCGTACAGATGGACTTTGCGCACGGCCTGCTTCTTATTTCAACCCTCACTCGCTGCTACCTGTCCGACACCGAAAAAGAGCAGTACAAACAAGTAGGCCAAAAACTGCGCGACGGCGAATTCGGTGCCTGCTTTATCTGCAAGAAAGAAGACTCGAAACAACCAAATGAACCTCTGGCTCCACCCCCAACTGCCCAAGTATCAGCCAACACCTTTGACCTGATTGGAATCAACGAAAGTCTACCCTTCAGGGTTAAAAGCAAGTTGAGAATTTTCTGCGCCAGACCAGGTTCGCGCCTTTGGGAGGTCAACTGTGATGGTTCGGTCATGAGCACCCATCAACTGAGAGAGGCCCTCTCGACAAAAGCTCCTACAAATATAGTTTCCACCCACATCTCGCCTGCGGAACAGACACTCCCGGAAACCATAAAAAGCAGTTTTAATTTTCCCCAACTGAATGCGATTGGGGATAAATTTTTATTCACGTTTCGACAGGATGGCTTATACATTTTTGATCCGGACAATTCACTTGTTGTGCTTTGGAGCAACTCGATAACCAACATTTCGGACGCACAGGTCTGGGAGGACACGATTTATGTGTGGCGGAAGTCGGGAGAGATGCACGCCCTACATTTCCAGCCAGTGGAAAAATGCATCCTCAAGTTGTACTTCAAAAAGGAGTACGCGATTTGCGCGCAGCTGTGCCACAAGTACCTGGACCACTTGGTGCGAATAGTTCCGTCTGCCCGCAAACTCCACTTCATGGCTGACCTGGCCGAAAAGCTTTCCGACCACACTGATTTGAGGCAGAGCATTTTGCCTCTCACTTCGGAAATTCTCAAATTCCTGCCATCGAGACAAACAAGAGGACAGAAAATGAAAAGTGGAATCTACAGAATCGGCAACAGCATTGACAGTGATGAGGAGGGCAAAAGTTTGCGCATCCTCGGCAGGTCAAGAAAAGGGTCTGAGAGGTCACGTTCTCTCAGCGCCTCGCCCAAGAGGAGAGCGGCCAGTCAAGGCAAAGTGAAAGAAATTCCTAGGAATAACAGTGCCCAGTCTTTGCCTGCACACGCAGAAAACAAAATAATCACCTTGGAAGAATCGCCTTTCAACTTAATGACCCCTCCGGAAACGATTGCCGCCCTGCAAGACTTGACCAACATTCTGTCAAGCAAGCTGAAGAGGCAGTGGATGGCCTTGGAGGGGAAAATGAAATATTTTAGTCAGGAAGTACCATTGCTAGACGTAGGTGGTAAAATTAATGGAGGAGAAAAACATCAGACCGAGCAGACTGAAAACGACGGACTGGAAATTTTGATTCCCAATGGACGGTCGCCCATTTCGACCAAGCAAAATGGATGTGATGGGCCAAATATGGACAAAATCAAAGAAGCCATCAAGTCGGAAAACTTTGAACAAATTTTAACTAGTTGCATAGTTACCTTTGAAAACTCATTCCCCAAGCAATCGGAAGCTTTTCCATTCAAAACCGCCCTTAGCAAATCAGAACAAACCGCTGTGCAAAACGCACTGCACCATTCATTCGAAACAAAATATATTTTAAGTCTGCTGCCCTCAAGTTGCGATTTAAAACCTGACTCGGACTACCCGGACGTTTTCAAAACCATTCACTCTGACCAGGACCTGCTATTGGACACACTTTTGAGCAAACTAGTCACCTCTTTTGGAGAAATCTTGGACGAAAATGTTATTCTGCAAGACCTGATCGGCTTGGGCTTGCCCTGCTATTTTATGAGCTGGTGCGCCGTCCTCAATTTTTTCCAGCCGCAAGTCCTCAAGTTCATCACGAGCGAGTCCAGAGACGCCATCCGGCAGGCCATCACAAACCACACTTGTCCCCTGCCACGCCTGCTGAATGTAATGTACCTTCTGCTGCGCGTCTCGAGCAACGAGGGCATTGACATTTGTCTCTCTATCGGCGAAAACGTTGCCCTGCGCGACTTCTGCTATGTCGTGCTGAAACTGCAGCAGCACAAAATCACAGCCGGGAATGCTAGTCAGAACATTCAACGCTACTGCCAGAACGTGTTGTTGTCGTTCCTCACCAAAAAGTCAATTGCCGAAGACTGCCTATTGGAGGATGTGCATGTTTACCACTTGGCCATGGAGGCCTTCGTCAATTTGAACAAGATCGGACCCGTTTCGGCCTGCAACTGCGGTCACCCTCTGCCTGGTGGTTTGAGAAAATACCCTTTGCAGTTCATGTTTGTCGGAAATTTGTTGCTGCAACTTTTGAAAAAAACAAACGTCGACCAGTACTTAGGCGTTTGCCGCAAGTTGGGTCTTTGGAAGGAGTTGATCAATTACAAATTAGAGCACGGGAGTGACCTGAACACCCTTCTGCCTCTGATTCTGCAATTGGACAGTGTCCATCTATTTGAAGACTATCTTCCCCAGTTTGTTTCATCTCATTTTAACTATTTACTGCAAGCAAGAAGAAAACTGGATGAATCAAAAAGCTGCTTAAACTGTGGCACGCCAATCGATTTAAAAGAAAGTAATCTCGACTGGACATTCATCGGACAATGTGTAATAAAAGTGATGGGTCCGGAGAAAGCAATCGACCTTTTGTCAATACAAGCTGGACCGGGCCAGACCGGACTTTTGAAAAAGAGGTAAAATATTTTTGCATTTGGTTAGTTAAAAATTTAATGTTCTTTTTAAAGCTTTTTCCAGTCCTGCATATTTGCCACTCTCCTGTCAGATGCGCCCAAAAAAGCTAACAAAGCTGTGGAGTTGATGCAAAAAAGTGACAATTCGAAAAATCTTTTCTCGTCAGAGGTACTTTGAGATTTATTTGATTTTTACTTTGGAAAAATGACTTTTTTATTTTTCAGATTGGCAGCAAAGTGATGGAGGCACTGAGTAAAGATCTATCACTGCAGGGTGTCTTGCCCAGCGATTACATGCCGCCTTCCACTTCCGACAGCCATCACTGGGGAGTCCAGGTCCAACTGTGGGACCAAAATTGTCCTCGATGCTCCCTTCCATTTGCAGACAGCGTTCTCTTGAAAAAGAGCGGAGTCAGAATTTTCCCTTGCTCTCACGCATTTCACGTCGCCTGTCTTGGCAACACCCCAACTGAATGTTTAAAATGTAAAGTCAAAGAAATTATCAATGTTCATTGATACTCGAATGTGATGAAAAATTTTTAAATTTTAACTTGCTTCATCTACAACGACCGGGAATAACAGGAACACGTCTATTTACCTGCTCAAGAAAGATGCATGCCTTGAGCTTGCGCAATAATTCATTAATCACAATTACATCACTTTAACCTTTTAAGCCGCTTTAAGCCTAAATCCCTCTTTACAATACTCATTGGTGTTATTCCATATTTTTGTAGACACAGAATCAAATATGGCCGAATTAAAATTTTAAGGAAAGAACTGAGCTGAAAGATATAATTATACTTTATTTTGTTGAAATTTGATGGGAATGTTCACTTGAAGTTGTGATATAATTTTTGCACTTGCAAGTAGCGACTTTATTTTGTGTTTTCAATAAAAAAAAGTCTGAACTGTAAAATTTTTAATTTTGTAATTATTCTGAATTAACCTCCTTCACCATCCTGCTGCAATTATCATTGAGCCGTGATTCTTTTAATTATAACAATCAGCTTCATCTTTATACGGCGGGAAAATTGCGGCACTTAATTTGAATTTAATCTGCATCTAGATAAATTAATCATCCCAATGTGGCATTTTTTTTAGAAAATAAAAGCCATCCTCCTGCCTTAGATTGTCTACCGCATTTACAGTTTGAAAAAGCCACTCGGTAGAAATGCAAAGAAAGCTCAACACGTGGGAAAAGTGTATCGTTATTGCCGTCTTTTGAGAATAAGAGCAATAATGCATTATTCCTTGTCAGGCGAATTATACAAGTGAGCATTTATGTGTTACGAGGAGCTGCTCCTGTGTATGTTCTCTAACGGAACATACGCGTGCATTGCAATATAATAAAACGATAGCCGTGCTTTGCTGCTTTTATTACACCAGAGCGTCTGTGTGCACGTCAATTTTGAATGTAATGAATCGCACGAAAAATGGCCCGAGTCATATTGGCTGAAAGAATCCGTTGCAAATTGCTCGTGTTCAATTTCGTTGCAAGAATACACAATGGGAAAGCACATGGCATTTTTTTATCAAGCTTAAATTGACGTGAGTGGCGGATCGAAATTGTGCTCTTTTGGCTCCAATGAAATAATATGCCTATATGTTATATTGTATAATAAGGAGAGCCAACTGAGAAATTAATTTATAATCTTAATGTGATAAAACTATGAAAATAGATCAATTTTTCAGCGAAAAGCAAATTTTCAACAATCTTAATTTGGTTTGAAATACGTAACAGCTACATAAAAGTATAAAAAAAAAGAAAAATTGTCATCAGTCGACAGATTAATTTCTTTGTTTATTTTAAGTATTTCATTATTTTCGTTTATCATTTTTTTTTTTTTTTTACATCGGATTTATATAATAGTTTTAATTTGAGCAATAATTTTGATTTTCAAAAAATATCGAGGAATTAAAATAAAAATATTGCAAAAAACTTTAAACCAATCATTAATCAAAAAAAATTTTTTTGAGTGCAACTTGGAGTGTGAGGGCTTTGAAAATTTAAAGTTTAATTATTTTATATTTAAAAAAATTAAATATATATTTAATTTAAAAAATATATTATCGAAATGCTGATAAAAAAATTATAAACTTAAAAAGTCTGATTTATCAATAAACTTTAATAAATAAATTTATGTATTTTAATTAATTTTGATTGTAAAAAATAAATGTTCAATTTTTAAAGAGGAATAAAAAAATTAATCTTCTGGCAGTGCCAAATTCCCAAGAATAAGAGAGGTCTTAATGAGAAAAGAGCATAATTGCGATTAGAGTAGAACCAAATTGGCAATCGTTTCGGACCCATGTTATTTTCTGATTAGTCGCGCCGCTTGGATATAAGAACGAGTTCATTGTTTTGTTTTTTCTCTAGACCTGCGCAAATAATTACGAAGCCGTTAATATCCACTTTGTAACGAATTAAAAAAAAAAATTATTGTATAACCGTTTCCTCGCACACGAGCTGATTAATCTTGGCAGTAAATCTCTGCTTGTATTCACGTGGCCATCAATTGCATTTTACCGTCACGGTCGTACTGCAAAATTAGCGCGGGATCAAATCAATCTTTATTTATATTATGCTGCCATGCTGATGAGCTTCTCGTTTGCCCACAGCTATTGAATAACATACAGGACAATTTACCGACCGGCTCTCAGGCTCTGCTCAGCAAATGAGATTTTCCTCCACAGCTGGAGCAATGGCCTTCACAAGGATGCTCGTCTCTCTTGTTACACACCCGTCTGACATAAAAACTCTTGACACGCTGCAATCTCAACTTCTGCATTTTGCAACTTTTTCTTTGATACACCTGAATGTGTTCCAAGTGATTAAATATTATCAAAATAAAAAATTACATTAATTGCTTATTATATTTATTCAAGTTGAAAATTTGTAATGTGTAAAAATATTATCTAGTAGCTAAATTGAAAGCCTTGGGGATAAAAAAAATATAGGAGATATAATATAAAGCTGGATAAAGCTAATACAAAGACCAAAGAATTGAATCAAAGTCAGATAATAATATTAAAAAACGCTCTGTATTTTTCTTTAATAAGAAGAGAATGTTGATTAATTTACAATTTTATTTATATGGTTCAATACCCAGTCAACGATTTAAAAATTAAATCTGATCAAAACTTTATAATTCTTAGAATTTTATTTCCTCAAACAAATAAGATATTGCATTTCAAAATCAATTTTTCCCCCTTCTAATAACGCGCGCCTGGATAATAAGGATATATTATATTTAGAGGTCAATTTTTCGGCCGAGCGCGCATAGCGAGACTTTATCTTTGCAATTTACAATCGCAAAAAATAGTGCGCTCACACATCATTTATATCATTTTCAAATTGATCTTGACGGAGAGCGCAATTTGCGGGAGTTTAATTACCTGCAGTTTATCAATAATGTGACTGGCGTATTAATTTTATTAATTGCAAAGAGATCACAACCGCCACCGCTAACGGTACAACTGACTGAGCATTGCATTTTCAGAGCAGCTTATAAAGCGACGTAATCGACCTCGGCGCACCAATAATTCCTCGTCCAATTATTAACTGCGTGAGAACGACGTTTTTCTTCAAAGAAATAATTAATTTAAATTAAATGCTTCAAAGAATCTTTTACGGTATTAATATTGATAGGTTGTTTTACATTAAACGTTGCATGATTATTTTATTTTTTTTTTAATTCAAATTTTTTTGTAGATAATACTAAATGGATCGATTAAAAATTTCTTTATTTCAGATTTCAGATAAATTTATATTAAGACGTGTGTGTGCAACAGACATTATTCAGATATATTGACTCTCAAAATTTGTTCATTTATTTTCATTGCATTTAAAAAAATGTCTGTTGATGGCAAAATGGCTATCAGTCAATATGCACCAGATAAGTCCAAGTTGAAATATTCAGATTTTTTCTATGCGAGAAGACCAGTGACAACGATATCGGGCATTTCAGGGACGAGGCCCTTGATGGTGTTCACGTCGCAGCAGTAGCCGTAGCCACTCTGTTGAACGGTCGGGCTCCAGTTCTCCCAGCTGATCTGGTCGCACACATCTGGACACATGTAGAAGTCGGTTCCAGGACTGTCGATGTACGGGTTGTTCAGTCCAACAAATGCCACTCCCTGAACCATAACAAAATATCAAAATTTTAATATTTTTTTAGATTAAAAATTTAACCTTTTGTGTGGCCGGCTCGTAAACGATCTTCCAGAAGAAATGGGGCACCCTGAGGATGCCGGCGCCAGTGTTCAGATCATAGCCGACGAAGATCTCAGCCGGATTTCCATTAACATCAGGCAGAGTAGTGACGCCGTGGGTGCCGGTGTAGACGACCAGGTCATTACCCTGCAGTGCCGCGAAGTCCCTTGCACTGTCCTCGATCTGCGCCCAGTTGGCGCCGTTGAACGTCTGCCACTGGGGCGCCACGTTCAGGAAGTAGAAAGTCGAGCGCTGGAAGGCGCCGTAGACGAAGTCGGCATTTGCTGCCAAGTGGCCTCGCGACAGGAAGTAGTTTCCTTATGTTTTGAAAAAAAAAATATTAAAAGGAATTTAATTTACCTAAAAAAAAATAGCACCTGTGTCAGGTATGTACTGGTCGGCAAGAGCGGCTGAACCTAGGGCCTGGGAAATGGCCTCTTTTTGACCTACACGCGAGTACTGGTAGTCAACATCGAGCCAATCGGGGTAAAATCCGACGCCCTCGGTGAAGCTGGGACGGTTGAGACCAGACTGGTAGCCGTCGATGTCGGCCGTCTGCGTGAAGAAGGACTGATAGGTGTTGTAGGTGACCTCGTCAAAACAGACGGTAATCAGATGGAAGAAGCCGGACGAAAGTTCAAAGCCGATTTCAACCAAGCTGTGCGGCAGGCTGATTTGGCACTGCTCGCCATTGCGTCGAACCGCAGTATGTGCCGGCCAGGACGAGCAGGACAGTGAGGAGAAGGAGTACTGATTATTATTGCTGTCCTGTTGAATTGAACAATTTGTGATGGCTCAAATTAAAAAAAAATATTGAATTAAAATTTATTACTATTTACACTCAAATTAATTTTAATAATTATTTATGATAAAATATTTGTTTTCTTCTCTTCTACAAATTGTTAATTTCATAATTTTCAAATCTAAGAAATATTTGGGCAGTAATTTTCTGGTAAGATATCAATAAAAAGTAGCTTTGCAACCAAATATTTGTGTTTAAATGCGTATCATGTAACTTTCATATAAGTTGCCTTTTGACTTGCAATATAGGCAACCTGTGTGACTTATGAAAGTAGCCGGTTGCATTATTTATTTCCTTATTTTTTAATCTCTCTTACCGCAAACGTTTTACCCCCAACACAGGTCAGAAGAGCCTCGGAGCCACCAACACCAGCAAGAGTGCTACCAGGACACGCAAACAAAACCTCTCCGGCCTCAGGGACGGTCACGATGTCACCGTTCTGCGGCAGCCAAAAAGAGTTGATGTCAAGTCCAGCACCTGGCTTGATGTACAGAGGCTGCACGGAGGGCAGGTCAGTGTTGGTCGACCACGTGCAGTCTGAATTTTACTTATAATTTACATGGGTGAAATTTTAATACAAATCTCACCTGCTTTTGGAAGCATCCTCGCTTGGGCCAAGGCCGCGAAGGCCAGCGACAGTAACAGGGTCCTGCCGACCATTGTGCAAGAGATTTGTTTGTCACGCGTCCTTCAGGCATCTTTTATAGTTTGTGCCGCTATCAGTCGCAGACACGGGCCCGTTGATTAGGACTCATTAGCAATCGATCAAAATTGTTCCACTCACAAATCTTCGCACTTTGACAACTACAAATCTTTGTGATTACCACACTTATCACACACCCAATTGCTGGTGCTATGGGATTGGGCGCGATATGCAGGATGGTCTGATCGCGAACTAAACAGCTTTAGTAAGGTCAGATGGGTCAGATTATTTAAAAGGACTCAGAATGTTCTCAACTGTAGATAAAATGAAATAAATCAAGTAGTTTGTACACAAAACGATTGCGATAGTTGAATAACAATAGATCTTAAATTTCCAAGGAAATTGTTAATTAAAAAAAATGTTTTCAACTAATAAGTTATCAATTTGTGATTCTATTCTTTGCAATGAAGATCAATTTTTAATGAGCTAATTTTTTCTTTTCAAATAGTTTAGTTTCAATTTCGGCAAATAAACAGCAATAAAAATATATATTATTTTAAGCTCTTAATGGAAGAATCGGGAAATTTTACAAGACATTTATTATTGGGAGAAAATACCATACATTGAGATACATTGACTGATCAATAAAAATACACCATTTGCTGCAATAAAGGGACCGTTTTAATTTTGCCTTATAGTTATAATTCTTCACTATAATTCACTGGTTTTTTTTTATTAAATATATTATTTTATTTAATGTGCGGATGTGAACACTACTGACTGTGAGTACTGAATGTGCCAAATCACAAAATTTGCCTTTATAATTGACTTCAAATTTGATTTGTACTATTTTACTTTTTTCAAACGCTCCATAAAGAAACTATAAATAAAGAAATATTGTATGGTACATTATACATTCCAAAATAAAAATTTATTATTTTCTAAAAACTAAATATTAAGAGCTGCGTGTATATATATTGCAAAGCATTTTTACTAACAAAGATCTAATAGGCTGGAGGCGCGCGTGTTAGCTAGTTAACTAATCACATGGCCCGCAAAAAGTAGGCACGTGAATGACAAGATGCTTCAAATGGAGGTGTGAGTTTGAAGTGTGCAAAGAGCAAGCGATTTTTTTGTTTGCGTGCAGCTGATGTTCTCATGCAAGATTGTGATCTTTTTGAAATCCATCACACAATTAAGGACCGATGGACACTTGACTTGATTTCGCACTATCTGCTCTAAGCGCCGATAATGATCCGTATAAAAGAATCAAGGTTCCTCGTGAACCGGTGCACTTTAAGATGTCACGAACATTGGCGTTCTTCCTTGCCCTTGTGGCCCTGAGCCAGGCTCGCACTCTGCCGAAGGCTGGTAATTGATTTTTTTTTAATATATATTGCATTTTTGCATTATGTTTCATTAATGTTTGAATACTCACTGATAATTTAAACATTTAAGAATGCTCGTGGTCAATCAACACTGACCTGCCAACGACCCAGGCCCTGTACATCATCCCCGATGGTCCTCTAGACCTGAAGGGCTTCTGGCTTCCCCAAAGTGGTGATATCGTCACCGTCCCCGATGCCGGACAGGTTCTGTTCGCTTGCCCTGGTGGCACCCTGACCGGCCCTGGCACTGAAGAGGCTTTGCTCACCTGTGTCGGTGGAAACGTGTTCAGCGTAAGTTTTTATTATAGCATAACCATTAAAAATGATAAGAAATATAAACATCTTTTAGGACGTGAACGGCAACACCTACTCGTTTTCGTCCTTGTCTTGCTCTAGGGATCCCTTCCACACTGCAATCAGGCGCAACGGAGCCTCTTGCGAGATTCCCGGGGCTTATTCTCTGATTGACATCGGTTTCCAACTCACTTCCGGCGCCTTCTACAAAATCATCGAGATCTGCTTCGATGACGCCACATCAAATTCCCTGTACTCCAAGTACACTCAGACCAACGCCATCGATGGCTACCAGTCTGGCTACCCCAGACCTGGATTTGTTCAGGGTGAATTCTATCCTCCTGGCTTGGACGTCGATTTCCAGTACTCCAGGGATGGACAGTTGGCTGCAGTTGCTCAGGCTGTGGGATCGACCTCTCTCGCTGGACAGTATGTTCAGGCTTCAGGTAAAATAGCCGCAAGCTGTTACGATTACCTGACAAATATTTATATTCATTGAATATAATATTTATTATCGCGCTTAAAAAAAGGAACTTTGGAAACTTTCAAAAACTTAAAATCATTGAAGATCCACAAAGGCTTTTGTAAAGATTGAAAGTTATTTTATAAAAATTAGAATTCTTTTCCCTTGAGACAAAAATTATAATAGACTTTCCTTAGAGAGCGCCATTTTTTAATTAGTCGTTTTAGCTCTAGCGGATCAAAACTGTTTGGAGGGTGGTAATTTTTTGTCCATAAATATAATTTAACATCTTTAAACGCTACAAAAATTAAGATTTATAAGGAATGATTTTTTTATCATTTATACTCAAATTTATATAAAAGGCCGCATGATGAGGCAAATAATTAAATGGTGCGTTTTCCGCAGGCGACTACTTCATGTCTCGCGGTCACATGACTGCCAAGGCTGATTTCGTTTACGGTTCCCACCACCGTGCCACCTTCTGGTTCCTGAATGTCGCTCCCCAATGGCAGACCTTCAACGGTGGCAACTGGAACAACCTCGAGATGAGCTCCCGCACCTTCGCCGCCAGCTACCCCAATGATCTGCTCGTCTATACTGGCACCAACGGTATCACCCAATTGCCCGACGTTAATGGAAACCCTGTAGATATCTACATCGCCTACGATGCAAACGGTAACGGCATCCTCAAGGTTCCCTACATCTACTGGCGCGTCGTCTACGACCCAATCACCCAGAACGGCGTCGCCTTCGTCGGCCTGAACAACCCGTACAACGACGCTCCTGGAACTGATTTCTACGGTCTTTGCACTGATGTGTGCAGCCAGATCTCTTGGGTCAACTGGAGCCCCTCCGACCAACGGCTTGGTTTCGGCTTCTGCTGTGACATCAACGAGCTGGCTCTTAATGTGCCTGAAATTCCTCCCCTCACCGTCACTGGTCTCCTCACGTAGACGTCGAGCAGAAAATGTTTCATTCCGAGAGGCTGTCCTATTTAATGTCGCATTAAATCAAAAGGGATCCAGACGAATTAAAGTACAAGACTCGATTCACTTGAGGCATTTTTATTGTAAAATAAAATCCTTACATCGAGATAAAAAGGGAAAAGAACGTTATACGAGAAAACTCACAAAAAAGGTCGGTAACTATCAGCTAAGAAAACACAGTCAAAGAATAATAATTAAGTATATACCAATTACAATGAATAAAAATCGATTAGGTCAACAAAATCAGAAAAGGTTTCTCTTCAATCCAATGGGTCGTTTTTGGAAAAGTTCACAAAATTTTGCCAAATACACTTTTTCTTTCTCGTAAAATAGTACTATTTGATGACTGCGTGCATTTTTTTTTAATAGGTGTGAAGTGCGCGAGGGGCAAAATTGAGCTACGTAGGCACAGGGCTTTTCGTTTATTTTTGTTTACACTTTTTCCGTTATAGTCAATTGATTTTTGCAAACATTTTGCGTGTGAGAGTGAGTGAGTGTGTCATTTATTAGATTCGTCTTATCACAGTTAGGTACTGAGTGTATTTCTTTCGATTAATTATCTCGTCAATGGATCGCGGCGGGCAACACAAAAGTGCAAAAATAGGAATTTTCTCAGTGGTACATATTTTACTCCTTTTAAAATTGCATATATGAATGGGACATATTGATCGAGAGACAACTCAAAAGGGTTAAAATGTGCTTCCGCGCGGATGATGTCTTTCCTATTTTGAGCAAGTGATCGTGAGTAGGGTTCTAAAAATACTAACATGCTTGTACGCATCATTATTATTATTACAATTGATATCGATCGATACTCATCCGCAGCGCAAAACCATATAAAGAAGTGTTTGTGCGAAAGTCGGCAAAAACACTCAACAAGCACACTCGTTGCGAAATAAATTAATTAATCAACGAAAAATTATGAAATGGAATGGTAAAATAAGGGTACTCGAGAGCAAAAACACATTTGAAAAAAGACTTATGTGCGAAAAAATCACTACACACTAGTTGTTTTCCATCCTTAAGAACTAGATCAAGAGTTTTGGTAACTACTTTCGTGCGTCATTTTGGTAACTTGAAAAATCGCATTCAAACCTCGCAGGGTAAAATGTACATTCTTATTCAATCCCTAGGTAAAACATGCTTTAAAGCATTTCTCTCTTTTTACTATACAGCTCATATCGTCTCTTGCGAGAGCGCGCCTGGGCGTCTCTTTTGAAAAATAAAATGTCTTTTATAAATTTTTACAAAGTTATCACGCATATTCCACAGCATTTTGTGCCTCGCCTTTCCCAGTTAAGCAGTTTTAAATTCTTTCTTCTATCTATATAAATAGTTTTATACTTTTTAAATCCCATCTTCTTAATATTTTTTTTCTTTTAAATAATTCATCTTTGTTAAGTACCCTACGGAGTGATATATAGAATTCTTCATATTTGATATGAAAGCTTTGGAGGTCAAATAATCTCTGTTCAGCACAAAATACTCGTATTATATCCTTTCGACGAATGGCACTCGAAAAACTAGCAAAAAGAGGAAAATCACTACTGGTAAAAATTGGCACACCATACTGAATGCTTCAACATTCCAAATAAATAAAATAATAAATTAATTAAACTAGATCTGACAGCAAGACGTCGTGTCTTGCGCGTATAAATATATATGTACATCGATCTTCGAAAATGGTAACTTTCGATTGCTGTTTTTCTCACATAAAAATGGTAACTTAGGTAATGGCGGTGGCCTCCGTCCGTGGTACCGGACGAGCGGCCGACGGCCACATAAAGTAAACTTGGTAACTCAATCCACAATTGGCTCACATTCTAAATTCATATATATGTTGTAAAACGAGACTTGGCATTTAAAAAAGTGTCTCGACCGAAAAATTAAACTCTTCAGCAAAACTCCTAGCAAGGCACCTGAGGTGTGATAATCTGCTGATTCATATTCTTTTGCTAGGGGCGGTTAAGGGGGGAATCTGCACTCGGGGATAGGAATTCAGCGAGAAGCTAGGTGGCTGCGTTTGCAACCACCACTTTTTCCTCCTCGGGACTTGAAGACAACGAACTGGAGGTTGTTTTGATCCGCGTCGAATATTTGCCCTCGGTGTGTTTGTACGCAATGTGCTTCCTCAAAGCGTCCCTTGACCTGCACCAAAAACAAATAAATGTATAATTTTGAAATGAAAACCAATAATTAAAAATTTAAATTATTAATTTGCTATTTAAGGTTGTGTTAGCATGAAAAATGTTTTTGCAATATAGTTTAATTATTTCCATAACAATCATTGCAGAGTTTTAGGCAACATTAAGTAATTATTTCTTTAAAATTTAAGGAAAAATTTTGTAATTAAATTTAAATAATTATCGTTATATTACAATGCAGAAAAACTGCTTTTACTATTTATAAGAGTTTTGAATAATTAAATAATTTTGGTGAAGAGAAAATTTTACCTTGACACATGTGAACAGAGGCTGCAGGAGTAGTTTAGGTTCTGATGCGTCTCCAGGTGGACCCGAAGGTTGTACTGGTTGGACAACGATTTGCCACAAATGTGGCATGTGGCGAATAGTTTGTTGCGAGACATCGTGTTGAACGGCGAGAAGAGAGGCCCACTTTGCAGGAAGTTGAGCGGCAAAGTGGGACTCAGGCCTTGCTGGACGGCCTGTAGAAGTCGCTCTTGAAGATCCATGTCGCTGCCAGGAGATTCGTCAGAAGTCAGAGGTCCTAAAATTTAAATAGAGTTAATTGAGGAATTCAAAACATATAAAATACAAATAATTTTCATATAATGCACTAAAATAAATTACATTTACATAATAAAATGAATGAATTTGTTAAAATTCAAACAATTATATACTTCATAATTAGCAGTTATATTTAATTAATTTCCATTGTAATTTGATAATTTCTATGTATGTTATTGTAATAACTGTAAAGTAATTTTTATTTGCATAATATGTCATGTTATTGAAAAAAAAATTATGTCTTATTTAAATTATAAAATTTCAAAGCAAGATTGTTTTAGAACGCAACAAGCTGAAAGAAATATTGCTTTCTCTAAATCATATAGATGATACTGTCGTGAAAAAAATGTCTGTAATTAGCAGCAGGAATGACGTAGCAAGGTCTCTCATTGGTGTTTTCTGATTCTAAATTTTGACATATTTAAATCTGTTTGCTGTTGGCACGCACCGTGATTGTTGTTGTCCGTGCTGAGTGCCAGGGGTTCGTCATGAGAGCAGTTCGTATCCAGAAGCGGTTCGGTAGAAGACGGCTCAGAGGGCTCCGTTTTAGTTGCGTATCTTTCTGGACTCTGCGATGGAAAAAGCTTTTGTAAAAAGCAGGGAAACAAAGGAATTAGATTTCTTTTCAGCTCTTTCTAAAAGCGGCCGAAAATCCGGTTGTAGATCTTACCAGATCAAGTGCGGGTCGGAGGGGGGTGCTGGTGTTGAGCGGGTTGCTGAGGGGCGACTGCTCTGGCGGGGTGAGGTCCAGTTTGTCCAGTCGCGGCCTCTTCGGCGAGTGCAGCTCCATTTCCGGTTTATCGCAACCCTTGCCGTGGGCCTTGAATAGAGAAAAAGAAAAGAGCGCGCGTTAAGAAAAGGGATGGAAATATCATATTTTTCAGGGGGAGAATCGAGAATCTCAGAGATTTTTCTCCAATAAATTTAAAATTGCTCTAAAAATCCACAACGTTTCTTTTATAGTTAATATTATTAAGAATTACATGTCCAAACTAAGTTGAAATAAAATTTAACTTAGCCATAAATTGTTATTACATATATAATAATAGATAATAATTATAAATAAAATTAAAATGTAGAAAAATTCATTTTGGTTACCAAATTATGAAATTTTTGGCTATATTATAAAAAAAGTTTTGTTATTATTCTTGGAAATATTTTTTGCTGTTAAATAAATTGGCCTAAAAAATCATTTTTGTACTATTTATAATAATATGAAAATATTACAAAATCAAGAGCAAATTATTTGTTTTTTATTCTATTAAATTTGAAATAATAATATCTAAATAATATATATACAAAAAGTAGTTTTTTTTTTTTAAATAAAATATATTTTTAAAAAGAGACAATTTTATTCAATTGAAAAAGTAAAATTAATTAAAACCTGTTTAAAACTCACATAATTATTGTGTTGTAATAATTTTATTTAAGAAATTAATAAAGCATTATTTATTACAACAGTATATATCCATATTTTAAAAGAGTGGTAAAACATTAATAAAAATAAAAATAAAGTTGTTCATAATATTTTTAAAATTAGAAAAAAATACTCACATGGGCATGGGGCACTTCGGCAAGTCCTCTAATGTGCAGGGCAGCAGCAGCCGCAAGCAGACTTGGGAGTTGTTCCTGGTAGATGTTGACCTCTCCACTGTACATGAAGCTGACCAGCGCGCATACGTCCGAGTAGCTGGTCTGCGGCAGCACGATTACCGGATGGTAAAAAGGCTGCATCTCCTGCGAGCACACACAAAACACCTTTGTTAGCCCCAATGTGAAAGGACGAAAATTGAGGAAACTGACCCTGAAGAGCTGCTTGAAGTACTGACTGCACGCGGAAAGAACGACTCGGTGCGCACGGATGCTTTTGCCTCCGGCACACAAGGTCACGTCGGTCAGGTCGTTCGTGTCCAGCAGTTGTGGCAACGAGGCAAGAAGGCTGTTCTGGAAATTGTTCCAGCGAAGACAGAACTGCTGTTCCGACCCCATGCTGCCTGATTACTGTAAAAATAGAGAAGCAAAACAACGTGTTTTTAAAAAAGTTACAAAAAAAGGGTTTTGAAAATATTAGGTTAATCAAGTGTGAAAAATTCAATTTTGTGTATAAACCAAAATCGAAAAATATTTTTTATCTCCTGAAAATATAAATATTAAGGAACTATTGGCGGAGATTAAGCTTTTTTACTTTTATTAGACTACAAAATATTACTAACAGGATAATAGAAGACCTTATTTGTGACCTAAAGAAATAACTGATATTTATAAAAAAAAAATATCTTAATTATATCATATTAAATATCCCAAAATAAGTAATTCTTAATAATTAATCCAAAATTTATTTTCGATACTTCAAATGTCGCGTTTTTTATTAACGTTTGGCTGGAAAAACAAACTGAAGATGAAAAAATTCATCGATTAATTGGATTTTGATTAAATTGGAAACATTTCTCAATTGAAGCTACTGTGGTCTGGAAAAAATTTCAAGCAAGAATTAAATTATTTCCAGGGATAAAAATATTTTGCCATAACAATAACTCACTTTTCCTGCAGAAAAAATTAGTTTAAACGCAATCCTCGTTTTGGGTTTTCGCAAGCGCAGTTGCTCGTGTTGGAATGGCCAGGAGGTGTGCGAGCGAGCAAGACAAAAAGGATGTCACGGCGAACGCACTGATATTAAAAGTCGGACGCGGCCGGAGACAGACGGACGGCCGGACACACAGCTCGCGGAGAGAATAGCAGGGGCTGGCCGGGTTTGGCGTGAGTGTCCTTTTGGAAGCGAGCGCCTATTCTAGTGCGGCTCCATCGGCGGCTCCAGGTCTATTTTGCCGCTCGTCAGCCGGGGCCGATTCAAAATAAAATACAAACAACGCTGGCCAAGTGGACAGAAAGAAAGAGCGGACCAGAATTGTGCGTCGAGAGCTGCATGCTATTCTTAGCGCAGACATTCCAGCGCGTGACAATTAAAAGCCCGCACCCCTCCATTTCTAAATCAGCATCCATCTCGGTCGGCTGGCTGGCCGCTTGGCGACCGATTCGCTTTTCTGCTCGCGGCCGCCGCGCCGAGACGCGAGAGCCTCGCGTGTGGCCATTGCATTGCAACGCGCGTCTCGATTGCCCAACGCGGATTTTGATTAAAATTAGCGCGATACTTACGAGATAATGCGCCCCAGCACAGACTCCACCGCCGCTCTCTTGTTCTCTCTCTCTAGTCGCGAGATGATGCTCTCGAGCTCGGAAGTTTGCGCGCCCAGCTGATGTATTATTGTAATGGGGGTTGGCGTCGAGCCAGAGGGCCGTGCAGCAGCATCCCGCCGCCATCTGCCGCCCCGCAGCAAACTCACCCCTGTCTGCAGACGCGCTCCCTCACCCCTTTGCGCCCCTGCAGCTGCCGGCCTGCGACGCAGTTTGCCCCCGTCGCGGGGCAGCGCCTGCATCCATCCAGCGTAGGCAACCTGCTCAGCTTACCTATTGCGCGGGTTGCCTGCTCAAACTGCGTAATTTTATCTGCCCACCGCAGCACCGATTCCTGGATTAATTATAAAAAAAATTGGCGATCGTTACAGAAATTGACACATTTTTTGATGTTAATTATACCAATAAAGCTCAAGCAGAGCAGCAATACTGGATATAGCTGCGTTTAAAAAAATTGTGTTATAGAAATATATAAATAATGTCAGAAACGTTGATTGGTTTTTTACCTGCACGTGATGGAAAAAGAAATAATAACTTGTATAAATTGAATTAAATAAATATGTTGTACTTGTAGATCAAAACTATTAAAAAAAATCCATATTATTCTCATACAACGTCACCGTACAAAAATTTTAATTTTGAAAAAAAGTCTTTTAAAGAAAGATACTCATTGTTTTAATTTAAATTAATTGCTGTGCTATAGAAAGATGATTTATAGTCTTAAGTTGTCTAGTAAAAATACAATTTGCAAATTTACACCCTGTAAACTTGGGGGGAAGAAATAAATTATCTTTTGAAACCTTTAATTAAAAATTAAAATATAATAATTACAAAATAAACGGTTATAAAAAGAAAAATAACTACAAACTTTTAGGATGGCAGTGCCATAAAAATTTAGTTACATAATTTTAGTAATTTTAATTTAATATTTTTTCAAAATTTTTAAGTTTGATCTTTAATAAATCATTAAATAATTTTTTTTTTATCAATTATTCATTTAATTTTTTCCCATGAGGATGCTAAAGGTATCATTATCAATGGAAATACATACATGAGGTGATTATTTAATTGAAAAAACTTTTATTTTCTTGAATGAAATCTTAGCAAAAATATTTTGAGCTGCAATACAATTCAACACAATCAAGCAAGTATTCAACAAGCATTTCATTTTCTCACAATTTTCTACAAATTACTCATTATAACATTTTTACACTATTTCATTACAGTAATTTGCTCTTTCAAACAAATTTTACATGAACGCATTTACACAATCTTGATTTGCTCAATGAACATATTTTTACAGAAACATTGAAGACTCAGTAGAAAATACAGTTTTGAATTAATTTCCCCAAAATTTTACATAGAAATCACAAGCAATTATTTATTATGTTATTTGATTTAAGTGAAACTAACTGTGCAAAGAATTTTTAAGAAACATAAATATATGCCCTAGATCCTACTTTAATAATGGAGTACCAAAATGAAAAAAAAAAAACTTTCAACTTCAATTAATTTTTCAATTTGTATATTAAACATCAAAACTGTTGACAAGACAATCAAGACTCACAATGCAACGCAGCACCATACACATTAATAATTTGAGGCTTAATTGAATGAATTTAATAATTTTTTGACAAACACATGACTTTTCAAAGTTAACAGAATCAAAGAAAACTGGAATTAGTTATGAAAACTTATATTTTAAGCGTTTAACCCACGTTTAAATTTTTTTTTAAATTTTACAATCAAAGATTTTTTAAAGGACGAAACTGACAAACAGACAAAGCGGCAGAGCTAGTAGAACCCCTGTTGCTTGACAGACTTTTTGACAAAGGTGTCGCCATACTTGCCTAGCTTGTACTGGCACTTGGACAACTTGTAGGGGTCGTGCGCCCACATGCGGCACTCAGGGTGGACATCCTGGCTCTCGAAGTCGGCAGGGTGCTGCGAGAAGTCGGCCCAGAAGTTGCTCTTGCGCACGCACTTGAGCAGCTTGTAGGGGTCATGGGCAAACTGCTGGCAAACGTACGGGTAGTCGCCGCCCTTGGCCTTTCCTTCGGCAGACGAAACCTGGCGCTCGCACTTGGCCAGACGGTTGATGTCGTGCACATAGCGCTGGCACTGCGGCGACACTTCGTAGTCCAAGTCCTCCTCGGGCTCGTACAGCTTGCGCTCAGGGTCGCGCCTGAAACAAAATATTGAAAGTTATTTAGTTTTCTAAAGATACTATTATGTTTTGGTGTGAAATTAATTAAAAAAAAAAAAAAAAAAAATGAAGAAAATTAAATTTAATCCAAGGTCCAGTTATATTTTGATCTGTATTTTAACTATAAAATTATATAGAAAGTTTGCAAAACTCACTTGTACTTCTTGTCCTTCTTGTCCTTGCGGAGCTTGAACTCCTTCTTGGCCAAGAACTCATTGTTGTCCTCTGTGAAGTCACGCGCCCAACGAGGATCACGTCTCACTTCTGGAAAAACGTCGTCGTCCTCATCGTCTTCTGGCAAAACAAAAAATAATAATAAATAATTATCTATAATTAAAAAAATAAAACATAACCACTGATTTAGTTCACATTATGTTAAATGAAATATGGAAGTAAAATAATAATGATAATTAAAATTTTGCAAAAATTCATTTCGGATAAAATTTAAATGAAATTTCAACTCACCATCAAAAATTGGGCGTTTGAACTTCTTGCTTTGCTGCTTCTCGAAGGCCTTGCGCTCCTTGCGTGGGCAGTCGTCGATTCTGTCGTACCCGGAGCACGGAGACTTCTTGCCAAACTCGGAGTCCTGCATGCTGTACTGTTCGTCCGCGTAGGGGCACCGGCTCGGACGCTGAAAGTCATCCTTGTCCTTTCGGCCCGCGAGCGCGACGCTGCTCACAACCAGCAAAATGGCAATGCACCTTTTGAGAGAAGAAACAAAAATATACTATTATTACTTTCAGAACAATAATTAACAAATTAAAAAATTATATAGCATTTGAAATTTGTAAAAAATATATTTCTAGTTATTAATTAGGGAATTCAATTTTGCTTAAAGATTAAAAGATAACTTTAAAAAATTGACTTACTTGAGAGACATGGCTGCTGAGAGATGCGACGTGACCTGCATGGAGTGGTAATCGCGAAAGAAAGGTCAGGGCGGCGACCTTTGCTTTTATACCTCCACCCACTCCTCGCTCCGTCACCCCCTCTAGTTGGTGCGTATAGGTTTGTGGCGAACGCCCGGGCCGGTCATTTGGCACCTGGGAAAGATCTGGGAGACGGTGACTCTCACGAACTCTGCACTTTTTGAAGGCTTGGGATTCTTTGGTCTCGATGACCAAGGAGAATTCGAGAAATTGCAAGAGCGGCGACATGGCGATGTTGGAATTGCAGCACCAAATATTAGAAAATTTTAAAATCGCCAAGAGTACTGGTGTTAATTAAACATAATAAATTATTACTAATTTATGATCGGTTTGAGTTTTTTCGGACATAATTTTAACTAGCATGTAATGACTTGACGTGTTCTACGGGCAACATTAGCATGTTATGAAAGTATTTTTTGTGCATGTTGATGACTTTAAATTTGTGCTCAAATGTTTAAAACTTTTATCTCATCTAATCTGAAATCTAATTATATTTTTATCCGACTTCGTTAATTTTTTTACTATCAACAAAGTAAATTAAATATATTGAATTTTTGGATGATGTATTTGGGCAGAGAATGCCCAAATTATTAATGATTAATGATTTATTTACACAAGAAAACCTTATGTTTAAAAATTAAAAGCTTAATTGTAAGCATAAAATTATCCCAGTACTTCAACAATTTTTCATGAATATTTGTATAATTTAATTTTCTTTTATAAATATTTTTAATTTTTTATAATTTTATTCCAGAATAATTATACATAAGCGCAGATATTTGCAGCACAATTTTTCTATACATTATTTCTGTATTATCGCCTGCATATCCCGTCATCAAATAAAATAATTTTTTTGGAGACCAGGAGACCATATATTTTTATAATACTTTTGTTAATTTTTTCATTCATACTACACACTTATACGAAAATTCATAATTTCAAATTAGTTTTTATTCATTTGTATAATAAAATAATACTGTACCAAGTCAACAAATATTTCGCAAATTTCATCTCTCAAATTTTGATTCCGCTCATGGCCCTTGTAATCCCTTTCCATAAACTGCATGAAAGTTTCGTCGCTCATCTCGCTACTCGGCGTCTTTTTGTGCATGTGCAGCATCGGCCGACACAAAACGGCAAACAAAAGGCCATAGAGCCGCGACTCTTTACAATGGGCCTCGAACTCGGACCAGTCCAACTTGTAATCTTCGTCCACCGCTGCGTTGAATTCCCGGACATAATACTTGAGCAAGGCGCGTTCGTGCTGCGAGCGAAATTCGCAACTTGTACTTGTGTAAAGAAAATACAGCAAATCGGAAGTGGCCGGCGCGAACTTCGCCAATTGATAATCGACCATTTTCAGTTCCAACTCTCCCGTTTGCTCGTTCCGCCGAAACAAAATGTTGTTCCCCCAAGGGTCGCCGTGGTTCAGCACGTTTAACATTTTATCAGAACGCTTTCCGAATCGCCTCATTTTGTGGAAAAGGTCGCCACCTTGCAACCAAGTTACCACTTCCGAGTAAATTTCCTTCAAAAACTCGTCGGTCAAATAAAGTAGCCCTTCAATTGCCGACTCGAGAGTTGATTTGAAAAATTCTCCGTCTGCTCCGTCAAAAAGCGGGTTGTGAGGCAGAAAATGAGGAAAGTTTTTGTCCCAATCAACACCCGTAGAGGCCGCGTGCAGCTTGGCGAGCGCCCGGACGACGGCCCTCGCGTGCTCCTCGGTGAACAAATTGAACCGGAGGTCGCCGATGGTGTCGACCGGACACTTAAATCCACTTGCACACAAGTCTTCAAGCACAAGCACGCGATCTTGGCCGAAAAAACAATCTACCACCAAAAGTTGGTCATCGGCCCTTTGACGCAACATCGGCGCGTACTTGGTTAGAAATTCGATTTCTCGCTCAAAAGAGTTGCAATTGTCAACCAACTCAAGTTGCTTTGAGCACAACGGCAGTCTTTTGACCACAAAAGAGTCTCTTTCACCCGATTCCAGATTCACTCGCACTCGCAGGACGAGCGAAGTGATTCCGAGCACGTTTGCCGTCGCCCTGCTCACCACAAAGTCGCGCAATCGGCTCACCCCCGGTCCGTATTTCTGGCGGAGGGCTGCCTCCAGGTGGCAAGGGTCTACCAGGGATTTTAATTCGGAGTCGCTGCTCATTGCTAGAGGAATAAAAAAACCACGAACAAAAAATGTAGAATTGGAGGTTTACAGTCAGCGTTTGGAGATTGTTATCTAATCTTTTTCGACAAATTTGTTTTGGTTTTGATAAGGATCGTGAAAGTACAAAGTGCGAGCGCATAACAAGTGGAGATGTGAGGCTCCTTTTTTAATTATATTATGTAAATTATGTTAATTCAAATTTATCTTGATTAAAAATGACTCTAATTTCTTAATTTAAAGTCAACTCGCAGAAACAAATGGAAAGCCTGAATAAAATTAATCTAAAAGATGAGTACTTTTTTAATATCTAGTTTTATTAATTAAGTTTGTTATTAAATAGATATTTTTTCTGAAGAAAATTGTTATTTTGCTATAAAGATTTTAATTTTATTTTAGCACGCCATAGCCCATAATTTGTCTGAATTTGTTATTAGTTTATGTATTTTTTATTCCACTCAAGTCATACAAAAAAATAAAAATAATTAAATAGGAAAATGAGCAGAAAGGGTATCACAACTTGAAGAGGTCTGCTAAAACGCAGACACGGCCGCCGCGCTGAACCCACACTATAATTATTGAAAAAAAGAACAATCACAAACACTTCAAAATTGCTGCCACGTATAAAGAGTTAATAATTATAATTATAAATACATAAACATGGTGATAATTTCATTTTGTGTTACAAAACTAAAAATAAAAACTCCCAACTTTTCAGGTTAATCCTTTTTTAAATAAAAAAATTATATTTGGAGCACACCCTGTAATTATTTCCAGCTTTGTTACGCTCAACTTTTTGATGCCCCTCCAGATAAGTGTGACGTACGTGTGTGTGTCAGGGTTGAGCTCAGTGTGTTGGCGCCGGTGTAAAAAGCGCGCATGGATTATGAAAGCATTCAAATTATTGCGAGCGAACAGCATAATTAATCACGAAAGCGTTGTGTGTGTGACACCTCGGTCGGCCTCAAGCGTGCAAGCTTCCGACGGCGACCTAGGGCATCGAGCTAGGGGTATATTGCAAAAGGGTTTGTGCGATAAAAGCATATATGAATATTTATGAGAAGCAGAAAAAAAAAGAAATTAAAAATGGAGATAAATTACCGAGGAAGTAAAATTAGCTTTCATGTATCGTAGCAATCAATTCTCAAATTATGCACCATAAAGTTCTTAATATTTTGTAGGATCATGTAACAAAATATTTGGAAATATTATATACTTTTCTGTTTGGTTGAAAAGTATAAATTTTGGAGAACTTCGGTACTTATAATTTTCATGGCAAGAGAGGAAGAAAAGCAATTCATTTAGAAAGGGCTTGGAAGTGGTGAGTAGTTAGTTGATTGCACGTGTCGGTGTAAACTACGTGGGGCAGCAGTACTCGGGGTGGCGTGGTTGCGCGAGGGCAGTAGCTTCGGCGCGTGCCCTTTGGGCCGAGGGCAGGCGGCGCCCGCGGGCTCTGGCTCAGACTCGCGGCGGCATGCGGCGGCTCGACTAGGCCCTCGCTAGGGATGAGTCATGTGCGGGTCCTGCTTGCGTGGTGTGCCCTCAGGTAAATTGAACCGCACCTGAGCACATGGTCACTTTTTCACGGCAAAATTTCAATAAAACGAGGATATCAAACTATTTTTTTATAATAGCACCCCATTGTAGAGCAAAAGAGCACCGCCCAGCACTTCTGCGCCCAGCTCAGCGCACTCGATGTAATTTTACTTTATGGGGTCGAGTTTTGCCGCAAAACAATCAGATGGTCGAAAGCACGCAATCAACACGAGCGTGTTCCGCTCGACCTGCCATAAAAGCGGCCTTTCTTTTCTCTCTTTCCCGACGACGTCGATCCCTTTTACCTCGTCCCACTTGCGAAAATTTCGCTGCGCTCGCCAAAATCAATTTCGCCTGTCTCGAAGCTTTCCACGGTAAAATATATTTTATTTTTATTTATTGGACCTTTTATTGAGAGCGTAGAATTTTTACCAGAGGTCGCAAAGTATAAAAAGATAAATAGATAGCGGACAAAAAGCAATAATTTAATATTGGTATTAAATTTTTATTACATTTTTGCTCCCCAAAAATTTTTCATAGCTTGTGATTTTGAGAGGAATAAATATCAATAGAATGTATGTCTTGTTAAATTATTGCTGATGGCACGGTCATAAATTTACTTTTATTTGTGCAATACGCGTTTATGTAACATTATTTGAAAATGGCTTCAATATTAAAGAAAAACTAGTTTAAATAAGCAAAATTTTCCAAGCTAGTTGCTTTGCTTTTGAAAGAAAAATATTAGCTGGCCATGGCAATTATTCAATTTGAAGCAATCAATTCTCAGAAGGAAAATCTTACAATATTTCAAGATTGTAAGCAACGCTCTATAAAAAAATTAATTTTCCAGAAGTCGCACTTCTTCCTCCTCGTCTTACTGGAATTCTCAATCGCGGAAACTTTCCAGACGTGAAGCTATTTGAACTCGCAACCAACCGAATTGTTATACCTGAACACAATTTGCATAAACGGTGCTCAACCATGAAAGTTTTTTAAGTTTCGGAGGCGGAAAATATAGAGCAACGTGACCTTTCCAGTTTTCAACTTTGCCATTTTCTAAAGGCTGCAATTGAAAAAAAAAATGAATTTCTTCACAGCAACGAGAAGGACATTTTTATTCCCTGGCCCATCAATTACCAAAACCAAAGTTTTACACTTGACCTCCGTCTCTGCTTTTCTCTGTTTGTGTGCACGAGAGAGAAAAAGTTGTGTTCACCCTGAGAGCGCACGGCAAATCGCAGCAAACAACGAGAAGCCGGCAAGAAAACGACGCTGAAAGAATTATTCGCGTGATTTCTCTGCGGCGCAATCCGCTCGTTTCGTTCAACGTTATCACTCGGGCTTTTGTTCTCCACTCCACCAATAGTGAAACAATCAATGACTTGCACATTAATTTTTGGCCGCGGCACACACAAATTATCTCATGTACGACGGACGGCAGTCATTACTCATGCAAAGTTCGATCCAAAAACAACTTATTCCATAAACCACATTCCAACATTTTACACAGTTGGTTAAAGGAGAAGATAATAAAAAAGTACATACATATACCTCAAACATGAATTAACGTCTTCAGAAATTCACTTTTTCTTTTAAAAGTGGGAAAAGTAAATTGTACGCTATAAAAGAAATTAAATTTTTTTTTAAATATAGTTTATTAGCACCAAAAAATGTATCTTTTTTAATTGAGATTCAAAATTTAACTATGGCTTTACATACGCGCCCGGATAAATATGGAGGGGAGCCCTGAGAAAATCTTTTGAAAATTTTCAATTATTAAGTCCTAGCTCGATTTGAAAACACAGCAATTGGGGTCGATCGCCTCTAAAAATTTAATATTTTGTAGGAATTCTTTTTTTATAAATTTTGTATGATATTAAAAATAAAATATATTTACTTTTTAAATTATACGTAATTTAAACTTCTAAAAAGCGTGAAAATTTTTCTTAGAAAATAATAAATTAGCAGTGTAACGTGTTTTTTAAGCCATGCCGACTCTTGCATTATAGAGAAATGGGATCTACACGAACAATTCAAGGTCGCTTAAACGGTAAACAAAAGTCTACCCCTTGCTAATTAATTTTTGTAAGCTTCACTCTTGGAGAAATTTTCCACATTTGTCTCTTTTTCCATAAATTTTCCAGTCCCCATAATCCAGGAAAAACAGGCCAATTATTTGATAGAAAAGAGGGAAAGACGTTTTGGGGTCGTGGAGGCGCCATCGCGCCGCGAGTGAGGTGTATTATGCAAAGTTGTAAATTTCCGAATAATATAGCAATAATGCACGATGACAAAAATCACGCGGGTGAAATCGCGAGTGTGTGTGTCGCAGTCGGCGGAACGACGTCGAGATTTGCCGTGCACCGCCGGCGTAACTAATGTTTCGGAGGCACGGAAAAATAATCGCTTGTGCGCGCCGTTTTTCCGCATCGGCCGGACGCGCGCGCGTGCATATTATTTGTTTTTATCAAGAAACAACGTCGCACAGCCGTGCGGTAGGTTTGATTCCCTAACCTACAGAGAGCATAACTCACTTTGCCTCTCTACAAAAGTCTCTCTCGCACCCCCCGCGTTCCGAGTGCTGTCCCTCGCGTGCTGACCCATTTTTCAAATAAGAAAAATAATATTCGCCTTCTTCTTTTTGTTCAAACCGCACAATATATGAAAATTTCAAGATTGAATCGGTCACCTGCAGTGGTCTGTTTTTATTTCTTTATTCTTTTTACTCCTCTCCTCATATTTTCAAAAGCAATCTTCATATATATTCTCCTTTATTTAACTTGCAATTTGGAACGTGCTGGGAATCCGAGCCGCATTTTAATGGAGAAGGAATTCCCGTTGGCTCGAAATGCCAGTGCTTCAATTTCGGCAAAGTAATTTCGTTCCGTGCGTGGCACGAAATGTGCACACGGCAGTGGCGAAAAAGGGCCGCGATAACGACGCCGTAATTAATTTTAATGCGCTCGTCCTTAGCATGTTTCCATCTCTGCTTATATAATTTTATTAATCTCCTCCATACAATTTTAACTAATTCAAGCCGCACTAATTTGAATTCAAACTAGACCTGACGCATGAAATCATAACGTGAGACAACAGCTCATCATCAGTAATTGAATAAAATTTAAATTGAATTACATTTACAATACAATTAAATTTGTAATAATAATAATTTGTCAATAATTAGTTTTTAAATTAATATATATATTATTTATTACACTGCACATTCTTACAACCAATTTTGAGACATAATATGTTAATTTTAAACAAGCGCAATTCATCATTAACCACTATGTGTACCTGGAGCATTTTAACAGGCTCTTTATTTGCCTCTGCATGCAATTCGTCAGGCTGCCGCAGGGGCTGCGGCAAAAAAATCAGCCTATCGTATTATTAACGAATATTATTAATAAAATAAGAAAAATCTTTTTCAAAGGAGCTTTTGTATGAAAAGAACGTTCTGAGGGAAGGCTGCTTTTTTCCGCGTGCACCGAATAAAATATAAACATAGTTGGATTTGCCAAAGTTTGCTCATGTGAGACTGTCGATTTTCAGCTTTTCTCTTCACGAGAGAAAAAGAGATAAACTTTTGTTGAAAATATATATAATATATTATATATTGCCTCAAAATTTTCTTTTTATCAGAAACTAATGGGAATGTGACGAATTTTATGGTTGCAGCAGCTGCTTGGCGTCGATCGGCGCCATCGACTTTTGGACCCTGGATGACGATTACAACAAAAATCTTCCACCTGGTGAGTTCCTTGACATTGCTGTTGGATTTTGTTCATTTTTACTCCCAGTCACCACAAAAATTTGCATTCTGATTGCGTTAAATCGTGAAACATTATATGCAAATGCCGTTCTGGACGAAAAAGAATAATGAAATAAAAATAACACTCGGCGTAATTTCCTTTTAGTTTCGCGGCGACCGCTGATGCGATCTGTCTCCCGGTGCCCTCCTTGCAGCTTTTATGCTAATCACGACCCCTGCATGAACTCGCGGCAATAAATCCGTCAACTTAACCTTTTTTGCGGTTGAACTCAACATTATATGTGGTAAAAAATATGCAAAATAAAAAATTAGCTGACTGATGCTGGAAATAAAAATTTATAGGGTCTAACTAGAATTTGCTAAATTGTTTTTTTTTTCTAAGTCATATTTTTATATAAATATATTAGTTATTTGAGATTAAGCTCATTAAGCAAACAATAACAATACGGAAAAATGAATTTTTTTCCACCACCTGTACAATAATTTTTGTTTAGTGTTGTCAAATTGTAAAAAAAAAATCATATTTATGCAATTTCCAAACCTAGAATTTAATTTAATTTCAAACTGATGAGTGAGTGAAACTTACAAAATTGATGACAACAATATATTAAGAAACAAAAAATATTACTATAAATGCTCTTATTTCCATTTTTAAGCATAATGGAAAATGAAATTAAATTGATGATTTCTATATGAAATTTAAATTTGAGATGTTATTTGCTTCACATATAAAAATAATAATAATAATCCTATTCACAATCAGTGGTATTCAACTTGTATGGAATGTGGGCTGCAGACATATTTCGTCAGGTTTTTCAGCTATAAAAGGCCAAGAGAAGACGAAACGTAAACATTTCTTTCCAGTTAAAAAAAATAATAATCTAGATTTAAACTTCAAAACCAACTTACAAAACTTAATTTTGAATGTCATTCTCCATCAAGATTCAATATATAATAATTTCATCATAAATTTTTGTATTTAACGCATATTATTATTTACTTATCAGAGTAAGAGCTGAAAAAGCTCAAATAATCTAATTAACGATCAGTAAATAATACGCAAGAGAGAATAATTATGCAAATTGAGGAGGAAAAGTCTGTGGTTTTATTAACTTTGGTCGAAAGAAAAGCAGCGAACAGCCTTGCGTCCCGAAAAAGAAATTGGCTATAAACGAGCTGACAATTTCGAGGAACGACGCTTCCAAAAATAGCTTGCCGCGGTTCGAGGAGAAATTTCGTCGAGGGTGTGTGGAAAAGCATAGAGAAGTCGTCTCGCGGGTGAGCACCGCGCATGAATTGCCGCATAATTTTGCCGTGATTGCGTGCGGCAAACATTGCTGCCCAGATCGCGCGGGCGCCGCTCCACTCGCTCGCTGACTGACTGAGAACTTTATCAAAGAATCCACGTCGTCGTCGACGACCTGCACCACTTGTGATTGATGCATATTATTGAAAAGCGGCTGCTGGAAATTCGGCCGAATCGATACTCTCTCGCGCGCGCTCGAGTACTTTTCCGCGCATTGTCAACGCCGCCGCTACACATGTTATGTATCAAATATACACTCGTGCGCCCCGCCAAAAATAAACAGTGGTGTTGTGTATTACTTCCTCGCGGAGCTATTTTTTAACGAGCCGCCGAAATGTGTTTTATGAAAATATGCCCTTGCGCTTAATTGCTCCATTAAGGTGAATGTTAATGACACCCTTGGGCTCCCCCTCAAGAGTGAAAATAGGCTGTGCAATATTTTTAGAACCAACTTTTTAGCCTACAGAAATATTTCACTAAACTTCCATTACTTCCTAATCTTGACTTCTGTTGTAAAAATTTTGAAAATTCTAAAACTATTATTTTAATATTTTCAACCTATTTGATTGCAAGTTTTAACGCTTAAATTTAAAATGAGATTTAGTAGCGTACTCAAATTGTTATAAATGTTTTTGATATTATTTAATCTACAATCATTACATATAAAATATTTATGGAACTTTATAATCTTCAAGTTATTATTATTATTTTTTTTATCTTTTTTTTATTGAACATAATTATTATCTTAGTGTATCCTAAGATTGCTTAATATCTAGATTAAAGGTAAATGGATTCACCATAAATTAAATATTAATAATTTTCAATATTAAGGATAATAAAATAATGATTAAATTATATTCTTATTTAAGCATGAATATAAATAGAAGTTATTTTATAATTATATTTATTAACTTCTAATTTTCTTTTCACGCGGTTGCTAGTCCGAATAAATTATATTAAAAAGCTCATGGTCAAAATTATTTTTGAAATATTTGAAGATTAATTAAATTATTCCAAATTTAAGTGCGGGTTTTGCAAGGTTAATTAATGTTATCAAATCAAAACAGAGTATGTCTGCGCAAAGCAATGCTACTATTAGTTGCAAAATAATATTTTATTGATACATTAATTGCTTTTACGTTTCTTTAAATTTAATTATTAAAATTCATGTTGATGTTGAGTAAGTGTAATTAAAAAACAGTAAAAGTTATGATTGGAAAAAATAAAAGTAAATCGTGTTGGTAATAGCGAATGGACAATAAACGGTTAAGTTAATTTTTTTTCTCGCTCCTTAGAACTGCCGCTGTTTTGCGTTATTTTTAACAAGGGACCTTCAAAAAACAAAGGCCAGTTACGAGTAGCTGCCGTGTCCTGTCAAACATAAAACTAGTCTGCCGCTATAATAGACTAAAGCACAGAACGCACGCAAAAAAATTACGAAATTCCTGCGGGGATGACGAAATTGCCGAAAAACAAGCGGCCATAATTTGGGTAGGAAACGCTTTCGCCCGCTCCAGCGCACACCACCACAATCAACGTCCATTATGAGACAAGTTTAATGTAGGTCAAATTATAATTAACCCTGCACTCGGCGCCACTCACTTTTCCGCCGCCGCCACCGCCTCCAACACACAACATGCCACGCACGGGGAGCGGCCGGTAGAGAAATTCCTCAATGAACGCAACTAGCGTGCTAATGAGCAATAACATATAATTTGTTTAATTGTTTCTGATAACTGCAAATTTCATTAACATAATCAACCATCCCTTACGACACTGTGGATTAGAACGAAATTCATAACAAAATTGCATTTGTTATTCGAATCATGACATTGTTTTTCAAGTAGATCATTTTCTTAAATCTTTTCATGATTTATTATTAATTAAACAAAAGCTTAACTTTGACACTTTTCTTAAAGTTGGTTTCCCTCAGTCATCCTGGCTCAAATGATAGTTCTAAAACAAAAGTAACCCACCCCAGCAGCTTGCGTCGGATCGTGGTTGCGGCTGATTAATTAATCAGAAACTGTGCTCGCTATAGCCACAGGCTCCACTCGTGTTGAGAGAGATTCAAACCATCCGGCCCGCGGCTGCCATGTTGCCACCCTAAATCAATCTTGAATTTACGCTTTTGGCTGCTGACGTTTTCGTCAAGGCAATGCGGCAATTTGCTGCCAATTAACAGAAGCGAATTGAGCATCCAGCAAAAGTCCTCATAAAAAGACTTAATGCAGTGCAGCACAAAACTTAGAAACTTTTTTTTATATTGCTAAAAAATATACACTTTTCCGCAACGAAAAACCTTTACTCAGAACTGCAAGAGAATTATTTAGTTTTGTTTTAAATTTTCCTTTTGGAGCTTAATGGAATTATATACAACTTTGAAAAATTAAAAATGAATATTCGGTAATGATAGGTGATTTGTGATTTTTTATATAAATTAATGAAACAGAGGAAAGAGCTAATTCGTTATTGAATACAACATTAGGTTTTGGATTCAAAAATTTATTAATGTTAATAAAATATGACACAACTCTCACAATTTTTATGTTGAAATTAGTTTTCATTCATATATTTCCTTAAGTATGACTATCACGCTTTAGGAAAATATATTGTAATAATTTTGAAGTATTATAATCTTTAAATTTACCGATCATAAATGTACGCAGTAACTATTTTAGATAAGAGAGAGAAAAAATACAAATAAATTACAATTATATAAAATAAATAGAAAATATAAATAAAATATTTTAAATTTGTTTAAAATATATTAATGTATATATAATTTAAATATAAAAGATATAATAGTTTTTATTAAACTGTAACATAAATATTTACATCATTATCTGATTTGCATGCAAAGCTAGCTTCTAGGCATTTGCTGGTGTTAAATTTTGTTTGTAAATAAACAGTTTCATTCTTAGAGTTAATAGAGTAAGATTTCTTTGAAAATTCCTCAACCATATTCTCGGTATACCCTGCCATTCATTTTGTGATCGATTAACTTGCAGCGAACGACGTACAAGAATTACGAATTTTCGTCATCGCTGCCCCTTCTTGACGTACACACCGATAATAAACGTAGTTTATGAGTTAGGCCCTCTGCTTTCAACCGCAACGTTTACTCCACTTTTGACCCTTGTCAATTTCCATTTCAAATGTTCCCACCGCGTATATATTAATGTCTTCATTCATCACTCTCTCTACTTAAGGCGACGAGCTCGAACATCGATTTTGATATAAAAACGCTAATCAATTATTAAAAATTTATTGCACGGAGCTCGAATTGCTTGAAAGCGGCCGGTGTAATTGATAAAGCGCCTCTCTCGCGAGCCAATTAACGTTGATCCGGTTGAGTAATTAATGATAAAACGCAAGCCCTTGATGCGTTCAGCCTTCTCGGTGCGTTTGATAAACTGCTGGCGCCGAAAATAGCCGCAGCAATATTGCTAATGTGTGTCCGAAATGAACAACAAATTGATTGGTTCCGACTGGCCAGCGCCAATATTAGAGAGAGAAAAGCCCATTACTCACGCGGAGTTAACAGGGGCCGCAGTGTCTACTGTATTTTATATATGTATATGTTTGCGTCTCGCCATGACGTGCTGTTCAAATTACTACCCGCTGCTGGAATTAAATCTCGGCTTGTTTACCTTATTTTGGGAAAAATATATATCTCATTCCGTGTTTGGGAGCGACGCGAATCGATGCCGATTAGCATAAAGCTCTCACGGAACAACCCCCACACGAACGCAGCAGCAGAGGGAAAATGTAAAATAAATAGTATATCCCACTCGTGAATCTTCCTCGTCAACTTTTGGTCTCGTCTTTTCCTCTCTCGCGTGTGCCCGCAGGTGTCACGCGCGCGAATTTCTCTTGCTCTAGATAGCGCAAATTTGTGTGTGTGCTGCTTAATTAAGCCCGAGTTATGCGACAAATCGAGGCATGGTTTTAATCTCACTCGCTCACGCCTCGGGCCGCTCTAACTTTTCCACTAATACGCGCGTGTCACAATAAAGACCTGGAAAGAGATTAAAAGCCTAATTTGCATGCGATTTCTCATTTTGAAATTTTTAACAAAAGGCTCTTTTGAATTCGAAATGAATAACTTCTTGGAGTTGTGCATTCAACAATGACCTCTGGCGTGTGTTCCATTGTTGCAGGCAAAAACATGGTGGTGTCCGTCTCGCTGTTCATCAACCGGGTCTCCTCCGTCGACGAGAACAAAGAGGTAGGCAACCCGCGTGTGTGGGAACCGACGCACCTGCCCGCTGCTTTGTGAGGACGACGAAATACGTTTGCCTCCCCAAAAGCTAATTAAGCCAATTTAAATGACATTCCACTATTTATTTTCTGCAAACTTTAAATCAACTTCGGGATTAAAGTAGCGATTTTTGTAAATTTATACAAAACCGGAGGTTAAGACATTTTGACCTTGCGCCGCATGGACAGTTTGTCCATGGGTTAAACGCTCGGACGTTCAGGGGTGAGAAAATGCCTAAATTTCCTACCTTTGAACCGTTTTGAACCTTGCTGGCCGCTCTTCCTGCAGTCCCAAGGAAGCGAAGCACTGGGTTTCCTTCACTTTCACGTCAAATTTACACATACAACATACAATATAAAGAGGTCCCGAAAATTCCGCAAGTACATTTTCTGTCAAAATTGTCCACCAAAAACTAGTAAAATGCGACTTTCCTTGCTTCGCCGCACACACCGAACACACAACACTGATGAATTTCTTTGTTTACGACTTTACGTCTATTTATATATATATGTAAAAATGATTGATGACTTTGGCTAATTCGACGCAACTGATTGGCCGAACTCCTGACACAGGCAATTTTTACATATTAATGGCGGGAAGGGCAAGCATGTCATTGTAATAACCGCCAAGTAGATCACATTTCATTACATCGTCTTTGGCGTCTTTTTTATTTTGAGTGGCAAAATCCAGCAATTTCGGGAACATTTGTTTTAATTAAATTAAATTTATTAAACTGAGAATAAAAAATAATAAATAAATATTAATAGAATTGAATTAAAGTTATTATAAGAGAGCGTATCAATTTCGTACCAGTGATAATTTTAATTATTTTGTCTTATAATGTTTAAAACAAATTATAAATAAATAAACTTTTGTAAATTATTAATATCAGAATAAAAACTTGTGAACCTTTCTTTGTTTTACACACACTGACACACAATATCAAACTGAATATTCTAGCAAGAATTAAATTATACAATGTACATTTTTCCCTGTCTTTTGATACGAGGGAAAAGCTACATTTTCTTTGAACGGCCAGCAGTTCAAGGTAGGCATTTTCTTACCCCTCAACGTCCGAGCGCCTGCCCATGGGCAAACTGTCCAAGCGGCGCATGGTCAAAATGTCTAACCTGCGGTTTCTCTAGAGAAAATCAATCGCCGTTTGTATTTTTGAATTTGATTTCCGGCGATGGTGTTTCAGTTTTATTGGGACAAGCGGTCCAATGCCTATCGTTTTAAAAGACAGTCTAACCTTGTAAGTAGCCGCCACTCACTCTTTATTATTTTTCTACTCTGTACGTAATCTTGTGCATTTCGAATGTACATGAACTTGATATAGAGCGCCTCGTCCTCGTCCTTTGAATGGCGAGGCACGTACGGCCAGGCTAGTTATGCAACCGCCACAAAAATGCGGCACTTTGCATGCCTAGCGTTCCGACAGCGAATTCGAGCAAACTCACAGCAGTCGTCGTGATTGAGATTCCTTCTTATATATCTGCTGCCGTCACTCACGCCTCACATGGCAGCTTTTATTTTGGTTTTGAAAGAGAAGGAAAAAACTCGATTAAACCAACACTATACGAAAAAAATTTCTGAAATAAATTAGGTAAAACTGGCACCTGTGTTTTTGAGGCAGGAGCGAAATCGACAAATTGACTTTTGAATGAACAGCTTGTTGACTAAAAAATTGCTAATATTGTAAAAAAGTTTCAGTTCAAATCTCGTGACAATATTATTCTTACTAATGCCCAATAAAATTGAAACATTATAGGATTGTGCTGAATTAAACAACCCTGTTTGAATAATTCAGAACTGAAATAAGCTGTGAATTCACGAGAGCGATTTGCCCTATCGAATAGCCAAGGAGGAAATAAATTTAAAATTTTTTAATCGAATTTGACACAGGAAATTGCCATCGACGTGTTTCTGCAAGTGTACTGGGAGGACCCCCGCGTGCACCTGGTGGCCAACAGGGACCACGTGGAGCTGACCTGGGCGCAGCGACACTCCTTCTGGGTGCCTGACCTCTACATCAGGCAGCTCAGGGACATGCGGCTGATGCAGGTGTTTCAGGAGATGGCCTCCGTGCGCCTCTACGCCAACTCCACCTTCAGGGTCTCCATAGGGTGCGTTGGACCTTTTTAAAATTAATTGTCAGATCGAAATAAAAATTTTCTCAGGGCCACTGTGATCATAAAATGTGATATGGACTTTGACCTGTACCCTCTGGACATCCAGCGGTGCGCCGTCGATTTCAGCAGCTGTAAATTAATATAATCCACTCTTGCTGGGAGAATCGATTGAAAATAAAAAACTTTGACGCAGACAAGTACACCGTCGACGACATGACCTTCAAGTGGCGGGACGACCCTGCGCTCAGCTTCCCTAGTGACTTTGGAGATGGTTACCGACTGCCCAAATATGTGGTATCTTTCAACGCCGAACAAGAGGAGCAGGTTATCTTCTATGGTGAAGGTATTCAAACCAAATTACAAAATTAATAACAATAAATTAAATTATTTTATGCAATATATTGCTTCAATTGTTTACTGTATAATTGTTTTTTTCTCAATAAGTAATATTAAAATAAATTTAATAGAAATAAAAGTCATTTATTTATTTATATAAAAACAAGGTTAAATTTTATTTTGATTTTCACTTTGTTTATAGATTTTTTGAATTAGTAATATATTTCAGGTTGAACTGTTAATTTTAATTGATAGTTTTTTGTTGGTTGAACATAGATATTATTTTCCATTGAACCTAATAAATAATCAAAATTTTTGCAATGTATTAAAAAACATGCTCCTGTGTCACAATTTTAAAAGAAAAAAAATTTAAAATTTTGGCAACTTAATGTTATTATTTTTGAAAATTTCCATGATATGTTAGGTAACCACTCTACGGCCCGACTTATGATCACCCTGAGCAGAGAGTTGCAGTCGTACCTGCTGGAAACTTACCTGCCCAGCTCACTGTTTGTGACAATTTCTTGGGGCAGCTTTATTGTCAACCCCGAGCTTGTTCCTGGCAGGATGGTCCTCTTGGTGACTACCTTGCTCAGCTTGGTCACCATGTTTGACACCGTTAGGTTAGTTTTAACAAATAAAGCTCCTCAAATAAAATAATGTAACATGATTCAGAAACAATTCACCGAACGCCCTGGAGCTCAAGTGCATTGAGGTTTGGCTGATCTCTTGCATTTTATTTGTGTTTGTGGCGCTGCTCGAGTACTTTGTGGTGCTCTTTGCGATGCGCTATGACAAGCACTGGCGCCGAAACAAAGCGCAAAACAGCCTAGGTACTGTTTTAATTTAACCTTTGTTGCGTCTGAAATAAACCTCCTGGTGTAGGAATTGTGGCCAGCTTGGCGGCGAGAGCACGTCAGGCGCGTGGCTCCATGTCTGCCGCCTCCGGGGGACCACCGGCGGTCCAGATCAGCTCAGAACACGGAAGCCCCCGTAGAGACAGCAGTGCGAGAATGCTGCCCACCAACAACCACTTCCACGCCACCTTAGCCACTCCTGAAGACGACACAGGTTAGAAAAGTATAATTGTATTAAATTATTAGAAATTTATTTCTCAAATGACATAATTTTTTTACAAAAATAAATTTGAATATTTAAGTAATTTAATTTTTTTTAAATTGTTTTCAATTATAATTTAAAAATTAAAATGGGAGGGTTAATTTTATTTAAAATAATTAATTTTCAGTTGATCTTGATATATGTTTAAATTTCTTTACAGCTGAGTGCAGTTTAGACGATGGTGAGCGTGGAATTTGAGATTTTGCCACTGCTTTTTAGATTTTATATAAAAAAAGAGAAATATAGTGTTTTTCATAGCAGTAGAGTGTGTGATATCATTTTAGCGAGCGAGTTCCATTTTTTTCGCGCTCACAGTTGCTGTTGACAGCCCAATTTTCATTGTGACTGGTAGAGAGCAAAATCAAAAGCCTTGTGTGCGATAATAACATACGCAGTGGGAAAAACGAGACTCCTCTGCACTCTGCCGAGTACCCGAACACATATTCCACACAGCACTTGTATGTGTAATTTTAGAGCAGATGGTACACACTTGTGGATTTGCCAACAAAATTGGCATCTCTTCCATGTAGGGAAAATTACAGAGCGACGACAAAGCCACATTCGGGCCTATAATAGCAAATTTAATATTGTTGTTATTTTTAAACTTGACGTAGAGGAAACACAAACCTGCAGGCGTGTAGAGATATTAATCGTTTGCGGCACGCTGACTCGCTGCCTGATTTGGTTTTATTTCACTGGAAAAAAGAATCGTGTAAAAATCACACATGAAAATAAACGCCCGTCCTTTATTTTTAGATTATATTGTTTTAATGATTTTTCAGTCCACGTCAACTGCATCAATCGCAAGAGTCCGTCGGGGGACCGGCTGGCTGTGCTGCGGCGAGTTTTTCCCCGAGCCGCCATGCCTCCGCTTGCCACCCCTGAGGTGCTGCAGCCGGACGATGGCCTCGAGTTACAAGAAAGAGGCATGGTTGACCACAGAGAAAGTGCAGTTTACACCTTCCGGGTATGAAACACACCTCTCTTTTTAATCAAATCTTTTTAATGTACAACATGACGTAAATTTAACCTTTTTGATGAAATCTCATTAAAACTAGATACACATAATACTACTAAAAGTTATAGTTGGAATCCATTAAAGTTTGGACAAACTAAAACAATGAATATAATATTTAGCTACGTAAATTTAGGTAATAATTACAACTAAACATGAACATCTGATAATAGCAGCTCAATGAAGGTCATGGGTCAATAATGATACTTCTGTTGAACTGAATGATGAATGACGCACCAAATTTTCACATTAAACCATTCAATTTCTCAACAAGGCAACTCACACATTTTAAGAACCAAATTTGCATGCAATGAAAATTAATAAATTTAATTCACAATCGAGCTTATTTTCAGGAGACATCTCCTCAGCGACGGAGCTTCCTACTACCAATGTCACCTCGTCATTGGCCCTTTCTCTGCGGTTCCCATGGCCAGAGACGCCGAGGAGCCACAAGTCCTCCTCCTGAGCAGCGAGACTCCCTGACGGACAATGAGGCAGGCGGCTCAATCAAAGAGAGAAGAAGTCGAGCCTTTGCCGAGTACTGCGTCTCGTTTTGCGGATCGTCGCGCGGCACCCTCGATCAGGGCTCTCTACTTCTTTTCCCGCTCGTCTTCATCCTCTTCACCATCGTCTACTGGGTGTCGTACATGAGCGAGGCCGCCCACCGAGTGGCCATCCACAGCTGATTGGATTTTCTATTTGAAACATGTAGTTTGCAAGCAGCTTTGAATTTTTCTATATTCAACTTAAACGCTATAGTCTCCGGAATTTAGAGCTTTTGGCTGAAATCTAGCCAAACCACTTGATATTAATTACAAAAAGCTACAAAATGCCTTCAAAGAAGCTTATTCCGCTACTTGCTGCATATTGCACTCCAACGATCCCAGTTTTAAAGGGTTGAGAAAAGAGGAGAATTTTAATTTTTAAATATTCATACCCAGATGTTTTTGCCTTAAAATGTTCATAATTATATTGTGTAATTTTCCCAAGAACCAAAGTTTTGCGCGACAAGTCTGGCCTCCACATGAAAAGCGTACAAATTTAGGAAAAGTGTGAGTCAGAGTTTTTCTCAACCCGCATATGATGATTGCATTGTTATAGCAGTAATAACTGTAGTTTATTGTATTATTAAAGATAGTTATAAGAGAGGAGTTGTAGATTATTCACGTAAAATTGAATGGCGGATTCGCTTCACGTAAGAGTAAAGAACGAGGACCAAGGCAAAATTGAGAATACGGCATTGCCTCTCAGTATCAAAACTGTCTCGTTGATTTAAATCTCTCACAAAACACGTAATAACCAAGTCTGAAATCACCCAAGTGCCTGTTTACGGTCCAAAATGGAAAACGTCTCTTTTGATTCTAAATTGCTTTCGCGCGCGCTCTCCTTTCTCCGTCCGACTCTGAAGTAATGAAGTAATGTCTAGTGTCTTTTGCACTCGCGCGTCGAGGATGCAAATAATTGAGACGACAAGAGCACTTCACTCACTTACTCTCTCTTTACGTGAAAGAGAGAGAGAAAGAGTGAGAAAAATACTACATAAGCACGCAGCTTTTCAGCTTCAATCTTGCACTGAGAGGAAAGTGGTGAATTTGACTGCTATCCTTTTTTTCTCACTCCATAAAAAAGCTTTTTATAAAAAAAAGAAATATATTCGTTAGAACGTAGCATTTTCAATTTACACAGAGACACGTTGGCGCACACCAACCATACATTTAAAAATATAAATAATATAAATCGCAGGAGTGCTCTCCTCTGACGATGGATTTTGTTTCATTCGCAGAGGAAGAGTTTCCTGGCAGAATGCTGGATCGAGCTTTATTAAAATAATAAATTAAATTTAAGGCTTCTTACCAACAATGGAAATTATCAATGCGTCTAGCAATAAAAAGCATTAACGACATAGAAATCCTCTAGCTTAATGGATAAGGACGATTTTGTATTGTAACCTCTACTTCATTAAGGAATAAAATTTACAAGTTTGTTGCTAATGCCAAGCAGCTAGGTTAATATTATGTGTGTGTTTTTTTTTAACCCAACAAAGTACGCAGCATCAAGAAAAAATTTTACTTTTACAACAGAGGATGTACTAAAATATAAGATATTAAATTTTATTTTCGCGTAGCTTCATATAACAGTAAATATTAAAATTTGCAGCTAAATATATAAATATTACCAAAAAATGGATGCTTAATATTAAACGTCATTTTTTTGTAAATTTCGTTAACTCGGGAAACAGGATATAACAACCTTCATGTTACAGTCACGTGGATATTTCTTTTTTAGTCAAGGGCTTAATTTGAGCAACATTTTCGGCGAAGGTCAGCAGCTCCTATTTCCAAACGGCGAGGGTGCCGCAGGGCTGGTGATCGCAGGAAAGGCGCTTTTCCGACCGACCAAGGCTCCGGTTCCCGCAAAAAGACAAAAACGTGCACGCAGTAGCCGAACCGCAAAGCTCCCTCTCTGCTTTCAGAATAAACGCAATGTCGGCCTCACTGTTTGCCTCGGCTTTTGTGCCTCCGTCGCAGATTACATCGCACACATTAAAATTTCATTGCGCGAACCAAAAGGATCTCGCCACTTGTGGCGGCACCAGGTGAGATTCGCCTTTTACAAGAAGCAGCCATTAGGGAGCACCCTTAATCATAATATTATGCCAATAGCAAGGAGCAAACCCAACTTTCCTCGAAACATTTCAATTATTACAGCTAAATACCATCTCGCGACCTTCAGCTTGCAAATATCAAAGGTCTAACTGCTTCTTTCATCTTACGCGCAATTTCGCAACATGAGATGAAAGATAAACTGTGGTGGAGATGATGAAATGGAAAATAAAAAACCCGATGCAATCCCTTTTTTCAATCCACGTCGTCGCATTTTTTCGATACAATTTTGCGCGCCGCCATTCTTTTTGTTTCTTCTCTTTGCTGCGCGTGCTTCGACAAAAAATACAAAAGAGGGGTTTATTTTCGCGAGAGGCAATATCCGGGCTGGAAAAGGCTGTCGCGCTCGCTGCCTGCTGGCGGGCGGGCGGTCGTGAATTGTCAGGTAATCCAGCAGGGCACAATGCCTTCTCACAATGTCGCTTTTGTCATCCATATTATTGGAGAACAATGCTTCCGACTGCCAAGAGCGGCCCACGAAGCGCGCATTTTTCCAGATTATCGTCTTGACATCGAGAGCCTCAGCTCAAATTACGACCTCGGCTCCAGTGGGAATCAGATAGACCTTGACAACACATCAAAATTGCATCAATCTCCAAGATACGTAAATGTTTTGATTTTAATCATTCTTTTTTCAACCAACGTAATATTGTATAACCCAAGTTTTTTGATCAAACAAACCAATTTATGAAAAAAGGTTTCAGAATATTTCTTCATTGATAATTTTTTAGCCTTAAATTGTCCATATTTTGTAAATTAAAATCGCCGTGTGTTTAATTAAAGACGTTAATTAATTAGCAATAAATCCGTTTTTATATTGATACAAGTTTTTTTTTCACAACAGCCAACATTGATAGAGAAGCAGAAGATAGTTGAGAGAAGAATTTAATAATTTTAAACACCACTGCGCACAACATGCAAATAAAACAAATACAAATATGCCACTTCTTTGGGCTATAAGCATAAGTTAGTCGACCTTCAACAACAAACAACGCGCCACACTTAAACTTGGTAGTGTTGAAATTCTGCAATATTGCGAGCGGCGTAGGCGAATGAAACTGGCAAGAAAAACAAATTTGACCCCCGTGCTATTAAATTCCGTTCTAGAATCTTATTTTGTCTGTGTGCTCACTAGGCTTCAAAATAGCCCTGGCTTGATGTCCCAAATTTAAAAAAGAAATTAATTTAAATATTTTGTTATGGTAAATTAATGCACAGAGGGATTAATAACACGGTCTCCTTTTCAATGTTTTAAAAATTTGGTTAGGCTTTTCAACAAGAAATTTATCTTCTCTCCATTCATTTTTTACTCAACAACATTCTTTAGAAGAGTCTATATAAGTCCAAACAGTATTTTTAAGCAGGCGCACAGGTCGACTTTACAATACAGGGGAATACAGTTTAGGGGATCTCACATTATTACAGTTTATTCCGTGATAGACGTAGCAATTATCTAATAGCTAATTTAAATTCAAAAATCACGGAAATCACTAGACTGCTTAGAAAAAGACGAGTACGTTCTTTCTTACACGCGCTCATGCCACGATTTCTTCACGCGCTCTGCAATTTTGCAGCAGCATCATTGACTATTTCTATGCCTTTAATTCTCACGCGGGCGCAACGAATCCGAGGCCGGCAGCTCTTCGCAAGATTCGATTGCAAATATTGCACAGATTAAGTAAAATTATAACATTCTAAGTTTACAAGATTCACAAAGGGAAGGGGAAAATAAAATCACTTCACTACAAAAGAGGAATGTAGGAAGGACTTTGAAGCACAAATATATTGCGATAGGGGCGTACATTTTGCCCTATCAGCACACGTCAGTTTGCCTTGTAATTGTCAATTTGTTGCTGACAACAAACAAGCTTTTAGTTTTGATTGTCCATCGTGTGATCAAATGCGGGGCGAATCAACAGGTGTTGCGTTCGCTCGTTCTCGTCTTACTTGCGTTTTATTCATACGAGAGAAGCACACACGCTCGAATGCGGGGGCAGAACGAGGCGGAAAAGGGACCGGGTTTTGCACGGTATCAAAAAATAGACTCCGTGATCGGGGAGAAAAGCACCGAACCCGTTATTTCCAAGGGGGTGCTTGAGCAATCTTTGGTTCGTTCTTTTCCACTGCGTGCCAAAATTTCTGAAATCTGCACGTGTGGCAAAAACGAGGTGGTCGTCGAATGGCCACCCCATTTTCAATTTAGCACCCATTACGTTTTCAGCCTGAAGAACGACCTCAAAATTCAGCAAAAATCTGCTAATTTGATTAAAATTTTTGAAAATTTATTCATTTAATGTCAAAAATTTGGTAAACACTGGGGTGGTTTTGTGAACAAACAAACAAAAATCGCAACGTTTTAAAATCCATCTAAATTTCAACCGTGGAGCCTAGAATTTGCAATATCGATCCAACCAAAAATTAACCCATTTATCCTTTTATAAATTACTAAAAAAAAAATTAATTCCCGGCTCCTCCTATTCCATCAGCAAAAATTACCGCGACAAACCGCCAAAACGAGGTTTGAATGTCAAAGTCGCGTTTCTTTACCCATCCGGCTCAAGCACCCTGCGCCCTCAGGAGAGACTCGCGATTAAATTACACTCAGCATTTTGCGTCTCCTTGGAAGTGGGGCTTAGGAAATGACGCAGGAGTTGCGTTTCTCACCAGGCGTGGCAGCGGCGACCTGTCTCATTTTCTCGAGTTTTTCCGCGTCGATCGCCGCCGTTGTCGGTTTGTGGCTGGGCGAAGAGCCCGAGGCGGCCGGCAACGACTGCCGCCGCCGACGCTGCCTCAGGGCCGGACTCAGGTTGTACTTGACCTTGGCCTGGTTGAGCAGCTCCTGGAAGCACTTGGCCACATTGCGGTTGTCCTTGGCCGAGGCCTGCACGTAGCCGTGCTCCCAGTCGAGGGTGACAATTGATTCGGCCACCTCGCTCGAATCCTCCACCAGGTCAAGCTTGTTGCCGATCACGACGATCGGCACGCCGGAAGCACCCTTTGTTGAGAGGATGAGGTCGCGCAACTGGCGAACCTCTTCGAAGGACTCTTCTGATTCGTCCAGCGCATACACCAGGATGAACGCGTCTGCTGACGAGATGGACAGCGCGCGCATTGCAGGGAACTCCTGGGCGCCGGACGTGTCCAGAATGTCCAAAGTTAGGTGAACACCACCAACGTCAAACTCGCCGTGGTGCATTTCCTCCACAGTCCGCTTGTACCGGTCGGGAAAGGTGCCATACAGGAATTGGGAGATCAATGAAGTTTTACCTGTAAAATGTGACAAAGAAATATTATTGTAATTATTATAAAATTGTTGTGCACAAATAAAACAAAACGTCTGAAGATAAAATAAATAATAAATTATAATTTAAATTTATTTTTAAATTTTTAAAAATAAATTTAACAAAAAATTAAGTAAGGTGGAATTATTTGAAGACAAACTATGATCTATTTTGTAAATAATTATAATGAAATATGAAATGCTTCTTATATTTTTACTTTCAAATCTATGCAGTTGTAATAAAATTTAAATTTTAAAATTTATAGAACTTTTAAAGTGAATGAATAATTTTTTTATTTAATTATAATTAATTATATACACTTGAAAATCAAGGTCCACTCATCATGAAATTTTAATTGTTGCCGAGCTTTCTGATTGGGTACAACTTAACTTGATGTACCTAATCAGAGAGCCCAAACAACAATCAAAATTTTTTCATCGTTGGTGATGCGTAGACCTTGTTGAAATTTAAATCATAATAATGCATATTAAATTTAACCATTTTCAAATTGAATCGCTACCTGATTTTGTTGGCCCCATGACTACGATTTTGTGTCTGTGCTTAGTGACTATGTCCTTTGTGGCGGAGCACTCGTCAATGCTTGGGGAATGTCCGCCCCTTGGAGTCCCGCCGCCGTCATCGCGCCCCAGGAAGGAAGAAGGTTGGAGGCTGAAGCGCCGCTTAAATTGCCGGATGCTTCTCGTGCTGCCCGGCGGTGCCATTGTGGGCATTCGGGACAACTGCAAAAAAAATGCAAAAATGTTAATTCACTGTTTGGTCATAACTAGGCATGTCTTCTAATGAGATTTAAAGCATATTATTTTAAAGATTTTAAAGCGGTGATGGTGAAATTTCCATTTCATCGATGGACCGCAATCACACTTGTGAATTTGCGCCGACGGTTATTTGATCAGTGTGCACGCCCGGATGGCACGATTTAGTGGAAAGCACGGGATGACTGAACGCAATTGCCAATTATCCACGAGCAAACACATACTATGCGCCCACGACCTCCAATCTGGCAATCTGTCTGTTCCACTGCAGGAAACCACTAAATAATGAACGTGTCCAATTCGTCGTTCGTAGCATGGGGAAAATTAAATGTTAATTCTCGTTTGATTTGCGCCAACGAGGATTACGGTCACAAATTTCGAATTGATCAGAATAAGCAAATTTTGAAATTTATACCCGTTTGAATATGTGACTGGCATTAAAATTAACAACTTGTTAATTAAAGAGACACTTTGATCTCGCTTTTCCGTGCGTGGCCAAAAGTTTTCGCCAAAGACCGTCTGTGTCGGTTTTGCGAGTGACTGCTTTCCAGTAGCGCGAACTTAATTGCAAGCAGTTGGGACCATTGCAAACTTTTTGGAAGGTACTTGTGAAAAATGAGCGTCGCAAACTAAATTCTTACTGCGGCGGGGTAATTTTGCCGCAGCTGATTAAAATTGCAAGTTTGGCGCCCGGAGCTGCTTCAGCCTCATTATTGTTGCAGAGTTTGCCGTCAGATTTGCGTGTGCCAGTTCGCGTACGTTTTATTTGCCCAATGCCAAGGCAAATATTTGGCCAGAGATTCGCTCGGTTTATACGGCTAATTGGCTGTAGAGACGCGCGCACACATTTCCCAAAGTTCCACACTTGAGGAAACGTACCGAACTGCGAGAAGCGACACAAAATTTTTTTTGCGACCGCCAAGCGAGAGAGGTGAATCGCTGGGGGCGACGAGAAATTAGTTCTGTCTGGAGATGCTAGGCTGCGATTACGGGGCTCACTTGCGCCTCGATCTGACGTCTCTCAAGATTAATCCCCGAGGAATCGCGTTCTTGCCAACATGCAAGCAAGACGACCGGTTTCGCGCCTTCGTGTTTTCCCTTTGCCCTTTTACTCTGATGGCGAGCCAAATAAGCTTGATTGCGTCGTCCTTCTGTCATTTGGATCCGGAGACGAATCAGAATGTGGGCGTCGTTCAATTTCCATAAGTCACAAGCCCACGCCTCACCCCTTGTAAAAAACACTCGCAAGAGAAATAAATAATTTCCATCTTTTCCTCCCCTCTCTAGCGCTGGATGGAGACAGAAGAGCGAGTGTGAGCTTTAATTGCAAATTTCACGCCCGACTGGCACTTGTCAAGTGTCGCAACTGTGCTCACTCTTGTTTGTTAATATTGTGCGTCCTCTCTCCCAGTCGTGCGCAAATACACTCAGATGTCGTTCCATCAAACTAATTAGGGCTAATAATTAAACACACCTTTGCACCAAACAGGCGTCGATGTGCCCTCGAGTGGCTCTCTGCTCGCCTCTGTGGGCCGCGATTTGAAACAACAAACAACCCACGTTTCAAACGAACCAAACTGATTAACAAAGTTCAAATTATGCCACACTATATCATGCAAATTAAGCAGAAAAAAATCATGTCATTTTTATAATTATGAAGCGATTTTATTTTTTCCATACCAATTATTTTGATTAACTAGTTAGCAGAACTCGCGGTAATCAATTTAGAATATTTAAGTCTTAATGTTAGAATTATATGACTCGGGAGCAAATTTGTAAAAATTTAAATAATCTCGAATTTTTGTGATAAAAAATTGGTGGACATATAAATTTTCTGTGAAGTCAATTTCTTTCTTACACTTTCCATCAGACTTAGGCCAAGGGCAAGTGACTCTCACTCCGCTGGTCGATTTCATCAGCAGAGGCACACAAGATATACGACCAACTTGATGACAAGGATCGCTCCCTGGAGCTCAATCTATCTGACTATGAATCTCTCAGCAGCGCAATCTACCCAAGTTAAAAGCTTTCCTGTTGTGCGACAAATATAAATTCAGTTCAAATTAATCCCAGGGGTGGGTGCTAAATTTTTTCCCCAAATAAAACGCACATAACCCACCTAACGATTACAACAAAACAAGAGTGCCTGTGCTCAGGTGCGACGAGCAGAGGCTCCTTTTGCAAAATTTAATCGGCGCAGCCACTCTCTTCGATGGAACACGTTCGCTAAGCGGCTTATTTTCGAGCCTGGGTGATTAAAATTTGATTAACTGGTTAAGCTGATCTGTAAAACACTGAAAAGGGCGCATTTGCATTTTTCGTCCATTTGATCCGATGCTCCCGCCCCTTCCATTAAAAAAGCACTTTTGAGTTGTGACGTTCGTTTCTGCGCAAAAGGGCATTAGCATTTGGAAGCATCACGTCCAGCCCAATGGAGTGCAAACTTTCATCAAATTAAACGCCGGCCGCGTGGACGAGCAGAACGTTCCTGGAATAATTTGCTGGCTTTTAATATATTACACGACGGGACAGACATTCATAAAACACGCGGGCGGAGTGAAATGCAAACAGCTTTTCGCGACGAACCGATTTAATAAGCGTGTGCTGTGCGCGCGGCCTAATCAAATAAACGCGTCTCGCGCCCATCGATCGCGCTACTCCTCCGCCCGCGCAATCGTCCTTCTCTCGCTCGAGCGTGAAAGCATTAAAAAAAACCATGCTTATTTTTAGAGATAGAGAGGTTTAAGAAGTGTAACGCAATTAAGAGTGGAGTGCGAGAAAAATTAAGAGAGAGGGAGAGAGCCGCTGCTCGCAGAGATTAACTTTTTAATCGCTCAAACGCCGTGCCTCGTTTGGCCTTGCCACCCTGCGATTGCCCACTTTTTATTTTTTTTTCTGCTGCGACGCGGGAAATAAAGTTAACACAACTCGAGGCAGAGCAGCACTCGTCCTGATTTGAAATATAAATTGAAGCGACAACAAACTCCTTTAGATTTCTCTGTGTGCTTACGCAGCAAATGGGCCGACAGTAGCATCTCCAATGTGTAAAAAAGCAAGATCAGGTCAAAAGATTGTCAAATTAAAACCAGATTATATTAAATTCTGACTTTCTATGTTATTTTTCTTTTAGTTTAGATAAAAATATTATTAATAATTTTCTTTAATTGAATAATTTATTATATATAAATAATTAATTTGATATAATAACTCATTTTAATGAAGTAAAACATTTTCATTTTGTTGCACATAAAGACGGAAAATAGTTATGTAATTAAGTATACCTAAAAAAATCCATTCAAGTGTGATTTTCTTTAAATTTAAATTTCTTCCAGAGAAAAATAACAATTTAGATTTCTACCTTTGCTCTTAAAACACTAGAGAATAAAGTTTGCCACATATATGCAGTTTTTGAGGTAGCAAATTGAGTTTTTAAGAAAGATGCAAATCTTTGTGCTCGATATGTCTAATCTAAAATCTTTCAACATTTTTAAAAGCCCGAGTTGTCAAAGAGCCACAAAAAAGAGCTATTTTTGGCGCCGAAACGCCTGCGGTGGAATGTTCGGGGACTCCGCGTGTGATTTTTCCTTTTAATGGCTGGGTGCGAATCCGCGGTGCTCAGCGGGAGAGAGGATAGCGCCTGCAGGGCTCGCGGGTAGGCAACCGGGCGGGCGCGCCGAGCGAAAGGATGCGCCGCGATTCCGCGAGCGCTTCGATAAAAAGAATGGGTGAAAGAGAGATATCGAGCCGAGACAAAAGCAATTTCGCCGCTCTCAAAGGGAGGAAGGAAGTCGCCTTCAAAGGCGCATTTCCGCGAAACATCCTTTTTGTTTTGACGCTAATTACTCGAGCGCATTGAAAGTCGACTAGATTTTTCTTGAAAACCTGTGCTGATAAAGGAGAATTTGCAGTTGCAAATTTTTAACAAGAAAAAAATTGCTGCCGTTATAAACATGCACTTTTTATGTCATCATAAAATAATTAAAATGTATACGCGCTGAAGCACCGCCGGCAGCTTGTTTGATTCTCAAGGCGTTTTCAGCAGACCCTCTAGGCTCCTAATTAAAAGTTAACAACGCCAAATTTGAAAGCGCTCAAACAATTGAATCATTCACGAGCGCCCGACGGTCGCTTGCTGCCTGCCTCACTCTGTGAAAGAACTTTTCGCGTCTCGTGGATATTTTATTAAGTCAGGCTGCGACAAACTTGGGCCTTGTAGTCACTCAAAGGCAACGAATATTGCTGTTGGAAAATAAAGCTCTTATCCATGAAAGTGGAGTACGTGTGCAAAAGATTCAAAACTGTTTGCTTTCGCTACAATGAAAATCCTTGAAAAAAAAAAACGCTTTTAAATTGAAAGAGGAACATTATTTTTATTTGAAAAAATAAAATCTAAGAAGGTTGGTCTCTTATAACCTATTTTTTTGTATAATCTTTTTCATCAAGCACATCTATGTGCTGTTCCAATCCTTATTGGAGAGTGAAATTATTAAAACTAATATGAAAGATATCTATTAATTTCTTTTGTATTTTTATAAAAGAATTATTTTTTTAACTATAGTTTCCGATTTTGCAATTTGATTGTATTTTCTCATTAGAATGCAAAAGATCAATTAGTATGAAATATCAAACAAAACCAAGTTGCCAGAAAAGCTAAATTAGATTATTACGCTGAGAATTTTTTATAAAACTAAAGAGTGGTATAAAGATCCACTAAGCTTCTCAATGCTCAGCTTGGGCTTTGAAAATTATTTCTTTGTTTTCGAACGCATGTGTTGTCGCCCGCCACAAGCGCATAATGAGAGTTTGCAACAAAGTGCCGTAGGCTGGCGCAATTCATCATCCGTCGGCAGTCGTGAGGGCAATTAGAGCTTTGCACAGATGCGTGTCTATCGATCGCTCGTCTCCCTTTGTGCAGAAAAAACTGCTGCTTCTTCTGGCCGCCTCGAATCGATCACCCGCCGCACTCG